TATCAGTCTAGCATAGTATTTGAATTCTGATATTTGGATCTACAACCAAATCTTCCTTGCCATCCACTCATATTAATAATTCTTTAAAGTCTAAGGAATAGCCTTTAGTTGAATGCTATTTACTACAAAAAAATTTTAAGTCTATTTAATGACATCTGTGGGGTTATTTTTTCTCTAAGATTATCATTTTTATGTACAAATGTACAAATTGTACAAATACATTTGCTATACTACTTAAATATAAATAAAATCAGAACACATTTGTTAAGAAACAGATTTTCAAATGACATTAGCTGTATTTTCTTCCGGAAGGAAAGGACTTGCTCATTCAAGAAATACTTCTGCTGCATCTTCTATGCACCAGGCATTTTCCGAGATACCGGACACATAGATTATTCCCTCAAAGAGTTCATATTTGCCCTGAGCACATGATTATGACACTAGTCAGATGGAAGAGTCTTCAGTAATATCTCTAGTTCTGTGAACACAACTGTGACGAGAAAATTCATACAGAGCATAGTCATGGTTCCCTTACTGAGTGACTTTAATAATTGAAATCATTTATCTAAAATGTCTCATAAAATAAAGTGTTTTGTCCCCTAAACTATGTTTACATTATGCCATGAAAATGCCTTCCCAACATGAAGATAGAGGAGTAGGAAAAGGGAAATGGGAAAAGAATGAATAATGAATATTTTTTTAAGACCCACATATGATGCTAAGATCTTACACGTATTATGTCAGTCAATCTGTACAATACACCTATTTAGGAAAAATACTATCATTACCCCTATGTTATGCGTGACAAAACTGAGTCTTAGACTGGGTAAGTACTTTCTCCCAAGATCACAAACCATAGAAATGGTCTTGGGTATCACATCGATACCAACTACAATCTGATTTCCCAATTAGGCAGCCATATTTATGTGTCCTCAACAACTTATGAAACTAATCTCTCCCGTTTACTGGAAGATGACTGTGCACTAAACACTGTACTATTTTACAACCTCTGTCTCATTAGGTCCTCATAGCAAACCCTGAAAGACAAGGACTATTAGCTCTGTTTTAGAGAGGAAAAATTAAGTCTCAGGAAGCTTAGCTAACCTGCCTAAATCACCTTGTCTAATGAATCAGGGAGCCAGAGAACCAGGAATCAAACCCTGGTCGGTGTAACTCCAAAATCCATGTATTAACTATGACTCTATGCTTTTAAATTATAGAGGGTCCTTTGTTTTCATCCACTCTATAGACAACCACTAAGGCCTTTGTTTTTCCCATACTCATGAATGCTTCTCAGGGTGTACAAACATGTTATGCATCATACAGAGTTGCCAGGTCAAGGGGAAATTAGAAGCTGAAATCTAGCCCCCACTGTACCTAAGGCACACCCTCCTTGCCAGGCAGTGCCCCTGGCATAGGACTACATCTCTCCAGAGGAACAGGCCTCTTTTCCCAATTTATGCAAAGGTACTATGTGGTCTACAGGCATCCTTGCTGTCTGGGGCAGCTTAAGTATTTAGGACCATAACCCTCTCCAATCTCATTCCTCTCCCTCCATATTCTCCATAAAACTTCCTGTGGTAGAGAGGAACCAGCTTTAGCCATCTGGGGCTAATAGAGGTGTCTTCATGGAAGATCTTTTGCTGGATATCTGTTGCAACTCCAACCTTAGGCCCTGATGGATAAGTCAGCTCAGGAAAGCTCATATGTGGACTGAAATTGTGTGGCCTTCTTGACTCTGAGCTACAAAGGTCACCTCATTCTTGTTCAAATCCAAATAGTCACATAGAGTATGCTGTGGCAGTATAGTAGAAGTGGAAAGAGGACAGGCTTTGCAGTTAGCCATGCTTGGCTTTGAATCCTCTGAGTCATGGTTAAGTCCTTGGAAAGTCTCAATTTCTTATGCCTTTCAAGTGGAGGTATAAGCAACCTCATAGGAGTAAATGAGCAGTGTCTATCACTTACTCAATGGCTCAGTAGCCAGTCTGGGTTGGCATTCTGGCTCCACCCTTGTGCTAGTCTTGCTAACATTAAAAGCATCATCAGCTCATTTGTTCACATCATTTGGTGGATATACTCCCAAACTAATAACATAGACTCATCAACCAGAGTTGGCATCACCTGTAACTGACTGAAAGTCTTGGGAATGGAGACCCACGGTCTTTGAAATGTCTCAAGTGCAACTATGACATTCTCTGCTCTGCTTGGATGGGCCAGGAAAAAAATGGTCTTATCTCAGAATTGGGAGACCTAGCCAAACAGGTAGAGACAAGCATGTTGCAAAGAAAAGGGAGAGGGGGACGTTGAGGGCATGGTCACAGGTGTTGGTAAAGGTGAGCCTGATTGACTTGGCAGGTGGAAGAGTGAGAGTAGGATTTAAATCAAGATCTCTGCAGGATAAGAGAGGCTGGTGATTTGGGCATGAGGAATGGCTGGAAGAGAACATAGACCTGCCCTCAGAGGCACCATTAGCAGAAGAACAATACTGCCATGGTGGAGACAAGCGTGACATTGTCTTCTGCATGGGTTGTAAGTGCCTACCTGGAACTTAGGTGTGTGCATCACTTTGGAGCCCCGCAACTTCTAGGCGGTGAGGACTTAGCTAGGGCTCCTCTTTCATAGGCTGTAGGCTGAATGAGAGTGTTTTTGTCCTCTGGCCTTTTGAGTCCTGTTCTCCCACGGCTGCCTCCCCGGGGCTCAGGACAGATGAACTGACACCTGGGCTCTCCTCTAGAACAGAAGCATCTAGGTCACATTCCTCTGGAAGACAGATGAGCCTGATATTACAGAGACTGAGGAGATGGTGGAGTTTTCTAGAGGAAGGAGTTCAAATTAAACCCCTGTGAAGCCCTCCAAGGGGCCACCTGTTCCTGTGCACATCATTAGCTATATGACAAGGGAAATTTGAGGAAAGGACAAACGGCCCTCTTCATTCTTATTCTGTCCTCCCCTGTCTAGACCCAGAGCTCCCAGCTCTCTGAAGCTGGCCCAATTAAATGGAAATCTAAGCGAGCTTAATAATGCAAAGCATTAGCATCTTACCCCACGAGTGCTCCTTCCCATCTGACAAGCTCTCCTTTTCAAATTCTTGTTTCATCATTCAGCCTAGCAATTCAGCAGCTTTGGATGAGGTCATGTTAGTTTCCTGCAGCCCCACATTCTGGGCCCGACTAGCACCGCTTGGAGGGGCTGAGTGCTTTGTAGCCTCTCACAGATCTTCCCGTTAGACTTGCCAACCGCTCAGTGGAATGCACTCCAGCACAGGAGGGGAGGATGCTAGAAGGACCTTGCAGGTGAGAAGCACAGGTACCCATGAAGCTGAGTTTTGGTCAGCCTCCTGACAGAGCAATAACTCTTTATGGCAAACATTTGGTAAGAATCACCCAAAGTTTTTGGGAAACAGAGTATCAGGTATTAATATACTCAATATTAATAAAATATTAAATTATTAACATCTAATTTATTAAAGATTCTGTTAACATATGTAATGTATTTGTAGATGTTAATGTATTGAATACTAATTATTAATATTGAATATATTACCATCAAAACATTGAATATTAATCAAATATGTAATTAAATATTAGATATTTTCATAACTATTTATCTGTGATTCTATTAAGGCTGCTTCATTGTTGGTTTTTCTTATTTATGAGATTTAAAAACTCTTGTAGACTAGTTGAAAGACCATTTGGAGATACAGAGACTAAGTTAAGTATATGGAACTTAAGTGTATTCAGAGAGCAATGAGAAGATAAGATCTGTGGGTATATGCATTTGTATAAAACATAAAGAGGCAAAGAGGCCAAATAGAACTTCATTTAAGCAAAATAATATATATATTTTTGCTTTTTTAAAATCAAACTTTCCGGAGTACCTGGGTGGCTTGGTTGGTTGAGCATCTGACTTTGCCTCGGGTCATGATCTCAGGGTTTGCGGGTTCAAGCCCCCCCCCACCCCCCCCACCCCCCCGCCGCGTTGGGCTCTGTGCTGACTGACAGCTCAGAGCCTGGAGCCTGCTTCGGATTCTGCGTCTCCCTCTCTCTCTGCCCTTCCCCTGCTCATGCTCTGGCTCTCTCTTTCTCTCAAAAATAAATAAACATTAAAAAAATTTTTTTTAAATTAAATCAAACTTTCCTTGAACTTTTCTTAGTTTCATTGAGATATAATTGACATATAACATTGTATTAATTTCAGGGGTACAACATAATAATTCGAGGAGATTTGTATGTATTATGAAATGATTATCACGAGAAGTCTAATCAACATCCATTATCATACACAGTAAAGTAATATATTTCAAAGACGTTTTCCTAGTTGTTTCCTGATTTGTGGTAATCAAAATATGTTATATTTCGTTGAGATTGTACATGATTTGTACATTATTACAAAGTGATTATAATTGTGCTATGGATCAGGAGAGCTACTATTAAATTTTACCCAACAGATGCAGCAAACTATTTTAACAGGGTTTCTCTTTTACTCTTTTATCATTGGAGCATAAAGCAATAAGTAGTGTAAGAAAATTCATCTCAGTAGAAAAATTGGTTCATATGGTTTCTGCAACATTTGCAAAATTTCATTTTTGTTATAATAAGAAGTCCAATCTTTACATTGTAATTTACGTTTTTCTGAGACAGATGGAGCATTACCAAATTTAAACCCTAGTGTGGTGTGGGGTTTCAGACATTCTATTTGCTGAATTTTAATAGATGCACTAAAGGCATGGATTGCCCATGAGCTGATTGTCTTTTTTATTTATCATACCTGCATACGATAAGACACTAAGGCTTCTTTTATGTTTCAGTCTACAACAAGGTTCTGGTTGCCCACATGTTTACATGTGTGCTTATGACAACATTGTTATGAATAGCTCAAGACTGGAAAGAACAAATCCGCTGTTGCTATTAAAGAGCCATATCCATTTACTCGGGACTGGGCCCATTCACAAAGGAGTGGGGTAGTCACTCCATAAAAATGCAGCTTTTTCCTCACCTCAGCAAGAGGCCATTACAGAGGAGCTCACCTGTTAATGTCCGCTGTTGTCTTCACTTTGGAGGACCTCATTGTCACTCTCCCGGAGGCAGGTGAGAGCCCTTTCCAGGAAATACTCATCCCCCATTCTCTTACACCATTCTACAGCCACGCTTTCCCGTAATTACCACAGAAGGACTGTTTTCCTGTTTTCTGTCGATGTGATTACATTATATTAACCAACATCTGATAATACTTTGCAGTGTGTTAACTTGTGGAGCCCAAGGTTGGAGTAAAATCCCTCCAATATAATGCTCTGCAGATTTACACTGCAGTTCCTTTAGATGGTAATTACGCTTAAGACCAGATGGTTTCATGCAATCTAACTTTTCTATAATGAATGAAAATAATTTGAAGACTCATAGGCCTCTCTCTTTCATTACAGAATGTACAGGCTTTTCCCACACCCTTGTTCTGGAACATTAAGAAAGAAGATATGGAGAGAGAGAAGAAAGAAACCGAGGACCCCCTGCTACTATTTCTATAAACAACTAGTGGTGTTTAAAGGCTAATAAAGCTCCAAAGATCTCTCTTATAACCATAATCTTTGGGCCAATTTAAAAATATTTGTGATGGAGAAATGTCAAGAAAAATAGAGACAATTTCTTAAGACATGATTCTCTTCCCTCCACCTCCATAAAAGACTATATATATATATATATATATATATATATATAGCTGTCATATAAGAGGCAATTGAAATTCCACAGCACAAAGGCAATGCAGAGAGAGGAAGAAAAAAAGAATCAATCTTTCATATGTTTTTTTCAAAGGCTTGGCAAGAAACCAGGGGTAATATTTTTGCAACTGGGAATGTGTGTTTGCTGAAGAATATTCCCACATTTGAATCATCGTCAGGGGTCCTAGTCTTGTTTTACTTTCAAAGGTAGAGAGGGCATAACATTAACCCCAACTGGGAAAAGGAAAATGCCTCACTGTAATTCTCCTCCAGGGAGCAGGAATAAAGGGATTACACATGCCTGCATAATGGAGAATTTCCTCACTCAGACAAGACAAAAGACTTCATTATTTTTCACCAGACACTTGAAGCCTTGTGCGTCCCAGTTCCAGAAGACAAGCAGGCAGACCAATTTGTTTTGTATCAGACCACTAGATGGAGTTTCTAAGAAACTGGCTTGCTAGTACTTGCCATCATGAAGAGATATGGGGAAGATGATGAGATCCTAATACCACAACTCTGTGGTCTTTCCCCTAAGGAAAGCTAGACTGTCCCTCAAGTTCGTGGTGTGTATTTTCAATACTATTAGCTTTGCTTTTTCTCTAGGCAACAAATAAGTGAATGTTTTCATCCTGAAAATGTATTTCTTTTATCTTCAGGGGAGACCAAAAGGCATCTAAATTCTAATGAAAAATTTAAAGTGGCAAAATATAGCTTAATTGAATATTCAAATACTTTTCCTTCTGACTAGGTCTATTACTGAGGAATTTTAATGATGTGTGCATTCTTATTGGTAAAGTTGTAAAAGTCTCAAAATCCTTACTTATTTACTATTTCAGCTCGGTAGTAGATTCATATAAGACACCGTGTATGGGGACCATGTTCCCAGGGACAGATCAGATCTCCCATTTAAGAAATTGAAATGAGTTCAGCTCTGCCTCATGTAGGCTTGAAGGTCTCCCTTCACAGTCACAGAGACTATAGATAAAGATTTATAAATTTTCTACCTGCAAGAAGCAATGTCTGATTTTTTTTTTTTTATTACTATCTCAGGGCCTCATCTGTTATAGGTGTGCAGCTCATTTCTTGAGTAGCACAGTATTCTAACTGGAGATAAAATCACCTTCCCCTTTGAAAAGCATATTTCAAACACATACGGTGTGTGCTATTTGTGATTATTTCCGTGCCTCATAAGCGTGAAATGATCCAAAAAGAAATTAAAATGTTTGATCTTCGCAGTATTTCACGATTTACTCATTTCACAAATATTTATTAAGCACCTACTGTGTACAAGGTGAAGTAACAAGTGAGCAGTAACTAAGTCAACCTCTGCTCTCTTAGAGCTTTTTGGAGTGAGGCCCACACAAGGAACTGAAAGGCCAAAGAAGTTGACTGGCCGGAGCAGGGGGTCCCTGATGGTAAAAGATGAGGCAGGTCCTATGGGACTTTGAAGTTATGCTGAGCTTCTTGTCTTAGTCTTACTCTGAAGAGCAATAGGGTTGTTGAAGACTTTAAGACAACGATGACAACTGTCTTAGTTGCCAATTGCTCTGTAACAAGTGACTCCAAAGGTTGGTGATTGAAATAACACAGATTAATCTCACAGCCTCAGTCAGGAACATGGGTGTGGCTTAGCTGGGTCTCTCATAAGGCTGCAGGCCTTTTGACTTGCCTGGGAGAAATCCCCTAACTAGCTCACTGTCACCGGTCTTTTTTTTTTTTTTAAGTTTATTTATTTATTTTGAGAAAGACAGAGAGGGCGTGAGTTGAGGAGGGGCAGATTGAGGAGTTGAGGAGGGCAACTGCCCTGAGGAGGGCAGTTGAGGAGTTGAGGGCAGTTGAGGAGAGAGATTGGGAGACAGAATCCCAAGCAGGCTCCACACTGTTCAGCACGGAGCCTGATGTGGGGCTCGAACCCATGAAACCATGAGGTCATGACCTGAGCTAAAACCAAGAGTCTGACGCTCAACTGACTGAGCCACCTCGGCACCCTTCTCATGGTTCTTAATAAGATTTAGTGCCTCACTAGCAGTTAAATAAATGCTTTGATTCCTCATGCTCTGTTAATGGAAGACCACCCTCATTCCATAAGAAGGGAATCTCTCCACAGAACATCTCATGACATGGCAGCCTGCTTGGGCAGGTCTTTTGTGACCTATCCCATCCCATTTGCCTTACATCGGCGAGGAGCAAGTTGCCCACATTTCTGGGTTGCACAAGGGCATGAAAACCAGGGAGGAGGTATCACTAAGGGCCATCTGAGAAACACCTACACAGTAACATTGCAGGTGTTCATTTCAGAGGTCATGTGGCTGGGGATAATAATGCAACATGTTTATTGAGCGTGGATGCGTAGAGACAGGTTAAGAAGCTGCAGCTCTAGTCCGTAACATATATCGCCGTTGAGCAGAGTCAGAACAGAGGAGACTTACCCCCCAGTGTGAACCTCTGTCACATTTGCTTTTCTGTCCTCCACCCTCTGTCAAACATTTTAATACCAACCATGGAATGGGGCGAGACAGAAAAGTAAATAATAGCAACTAAAATGTAAACAGAGTGTCAGTGTTTCCAAAGACTGGCACATTCATAATCATAGTTGGTCCTCCCAACTCACTCCCTATGAAGTTGCTGGAAGAGGTGTTCTTGTTCCCCATTTTACATATAGGACATGGAGGCTCAGAGAATGCCCATCACCTGCCAGAGGTCCCACAGCCAGCAAAGGCTGAGGTCGGAACTGCACAGTCCTAAACCTTGGTGTTCTCAAATCGACTCCTCCATTAGTCTTCAGTCCAAGGCAAAACTTTCTGTTCAAGCCCTGATGCTGGGTAGGAAAGTACTAACCTGATGTGCTAATTGAACCTTGAGACTAGCAAGTTCGAGAACCAGTCCCACACCTCCCTCAGCGTCCTGTGCTCTCCTTATACCTTCACCTCCCTGCCTTGCACTTACCCATTCTGTCCCCTGGCTCTGCTCGTGGGTGTGCCAGCAACCGCATTTCCTAGAACACGAGGACAAGTGATCAAATGGGCCCCTAAAGAACTCACTGCCTAATAAGGGAGGTGACCAATGATGACCAAATGCCATAAGCGTTGAACAAGTGTGGTTAATAACATGCTACAGAAACATGGAACATAAAACATTTCTCTTGTGGGTGAATATTCATTTCTCACTTTATGTTACTTATCAGGACTCATTTATGTCTGAGTTTGTGACTATATTACACATGTCAGAATACTTTTTGGTAGTTCATAGTTTGGATTACAATATATGCTGGTGTACAATAAAATTGTATTTCCTTTTGAAAATAATAAAACAAACTCCTACCATACTTCTGTGTGAACCTTGGCACATTGTATTAGAGAATGTGAAACATCTTCATGGAATTCGATTGTGCCAGATTGAAGTGAATAATTTTCTACCAAGGCTGTTATTTTCCAAAATAACAAAATATTGTACATTATTAAAGAAGGTGATGATGGCTTATGTATCAGGCTGTTTTCTTTATGCAGAAACATCATAATATGACCTTCTTTCTCTACCTGCTTCAATGTCCAGATGTCCTCAGGGCAGAGCTATTAGGCAACTTCTTTCCTTGCTCCCTACATCTCCTCTCCTATCCCAGATTTATGTCTTTCCATATGAATTCCTCCTTTCATCCGTAGGAAACCCATTTTGGGCAGCTAGCTTTTTTGTATAATGTAATTAGATTTTTCCCTTGTTTTCTTTTAGACAGATTTATGTATCTGTAGAAAAGTTGTTTCTTCTATACTATTACCTGTTGTTTTTATGGGAAAATTATCATAGACAAATAGCTAGTTATTAACTATAATGGATACAGTGTGAACAAGAGGATTTTGAGTTTTAACGTAAGTAACATCCACCACCATCCTTAGAAGAGGAATAAAAGCCTTCAAGAGCCTTCAGATGAACTGCCTTTCATGTGCCCAACCTCAATCCCTGCAAATTGCCTTAACCCAAGTGTTTATATAGCCATTTGCTAGATGAATGTGGCCCCTAGTTTTCAGCTAAGAAACTCTAGCATTTACCTATAGTTTCCTACTTCAAAAAGCACTGGATATGCAAAGGCAAGAGTGAGCTATCAGAGCATTTGGTCTGAGAAGAGACTCAACAAGAGGCTGCTAAAAGAAAATGGAGATGGTTGTTGACCTTTATTTTGGACCAGACGTGGCAGCGGTGCTCGGGTGCATGGCTGGCATAGGGGTCAGAGACAGTCACACTAAGCCTGAGGCACCAAAGGCGACCTCTTCACACCATGGAAAGATCGCTGCGTCTGCCTGATTTCACTTTGCTCAGGTCACGAGGGTACGTTTGGAGTTCCAGGAAAAGAGGCAGTGGGTAAGAATTCCTCTGTTCAGAGAACACAAGGCTCTGGCAGGGTCCCCTGAGTGAGGAAATGAAAACCACCAAGGTGTAGCCTTGGCTCGAGCAGAACTCTGAAGTCACTCGTTACACGATTTTACTGGCTCAGAGTTGCTGAGCCCAGTGTTCTTTTTCTCATCACTATCTGGTTTGAAATTGTACTAACAAACACTGTTATATACACAGAAGAAAGTGATAGGAAGAGGAAATGGAAGCCAATGCTTTTATATATTTTATGCATAGAAGTGGCTATCTTAGTCTGATGAAGCACATGTTTTCTGGTTGCGGAGTCGAGCTAAAAACCAGTCCCCCTCACCCTGAGCTCAATGAGTGACTCATACAGAGAACAAAGATTCACATGTCACATGTATGGTTGAAATTCCAGCCCATTTTACGATTAGGTTCTCAATTCTCTAGATAGACCCCAGTGGGAAAGAAAGGACTGATCTTGAGCCAGAAAGGAAAGGGGGGTTGCCTTTTCACCACACTTCAGCCTTGCTGTTGGTGGAGGGGATGGAAGAGACGCCATGGGATTCGGAGTCTTTCCAATGGTGAGCACACCTCCACCCTCTGTTGGGACCTTCCTGTCTTGTTCAGTCAGAGGAGGGAGTCTCAGTAGGATCCACAGAGCCACCCCAGTGGGCGTGGGTGTGTTAAGATGACTTGGGTGCTGGGACATCCATGAGGTTCTGGAGTCAGTAGATGCATTCCCAACTCTTTCCCAGCAAGAATGCCTGGGCCTGCTCACACTGGGCTGTGGGGCAGACACCAGCAGTCCCTTATCACAGGCAGCTCAAGGCCAGAGAAGTTCTTCCACTTCAGACGTAGCACGGACGATGGCCAGCTCAAACTTGTATACTGTAATCAAGTTGTATGTGTTTTGTATTTAAGGCCTAAGGGCTCAACTGCTTTAGCGGGGAGTCTTGTGACAAAAAATAAAGGTTACTAAGACAGTGGCTATAGGTTAAGCCTTGACGTTTACACAAATAGGAGGGATCTATAGATCTATGCCAGGATAACACTCTTCTCCAAATGGATGTGCTCAGGATGCTTCATGATTTGCAGTCCTTAGTCCGAAAAACAAATCTTAGTATACATAATATGAGATCGTGCTAAACCTTTGTGAATTCAGCCTAACTTATAAATGCACCTTCCTATGCGACACCATTCTAGTCATGGAACTAAGCACGGTCTGTCTATCACTGCCATAAATCCTTGGTTTTTTATAAGATTTTGACTCTGGATTTTATCTCAAAATGGTCCATGTGCTTATTGAACTAAAAAGAGTGATTTGGGGTGGGGGAGGGGGTGGGAGTTGCTTCCTGTAACTCCTTTCCATTCATCGGATTTGCATGATTTTCATGGGTATTTACCATAATTACCTTCATTGGCATCAAAAGCATTTTTAGCTACTTGAATATACACATGATATCATAAGAGCTGCTTAAAAGTATGCTAAACAGAAATGGATCTTTTTCTTGAAGATCTTAACTCCGAGACGGTGATGATATAATTCAAAGTCAATCTAGATACACATTTTAGAAAACGTAAATATGAAAGTTTTATGTAAAGCAATGACAGAAGTTATGCGTTCAAGTGTTGAATAAATACAGCATCATAAGATTTGCATATCATAAAATCATTGCATTGGAGGTCTGTGAGTTTTCTTTGAGATCAAGGTCATGTCCTCACTTTACCAATAAGAAAACTAAGCCCAAAGGTCACTCAACTAGTCCGTGACAGTGTCGCCTGTGGAACACAGGCCTCCGAGTCCCCTGTATTATTTTCTTTCCACTTGACTGCTACATCAAGGGAATCGTTGTAATTTCCAGTTGGAGAGAACTTTCTGGAAAAGGAATTTTGTTTTCTCTTCAAATCATTCACACCCCAAGTGTCGAGTCACCCAATTGTCTTCCCTCATTAGCAAATCTGAAACTATACCAGCCTAGGTATGGTTTAAAGAGGGAATGCCTTAAAAAAGCATCAGAGTTTCATGATTCCAGAGAAAGTAGTAACTGGTTACCTATAAGCCATAGACTTTAGACTGAGGTTTCTTTAGGTATTAATCACAGCTGTAATTGCTTGCTTCTCTTTACCACTAACTTTTGCCTCTAACTTTATGCTTTCCTATTGTCCTGGAGCAAAATCTCCTTGTAACATATATTCTATCATCCCAGAGGCCTGGGTGGACAAATCCTTCCCCAGAGGGCTGTTATTAGAAACCTCCTTGTCTAAATGCAAAACCAACATCATGCCTACCTATGGTTAGGCTGGCCCTACCGCTAGCAGAATCCTGATGGCAGCTCTCCCCTTGGGTAGGGGGAGGCAGGTCGTGGTGGGCAGGAGATTTCTGTTTATTTTCTAGCACCACCGTGAAGCTCTGACAGTTCTGCTTTGTAAGTGTTCTTGACACAGAGCCTCAAGCCCCTTTTCCTTTACGGTTATGGGTCATTTGCTGTGTTTTGCCTTATCATTGGTGTTTCCTTAAAAATAATAAGAATAATGAGCAGTTATGTATTATTCATCCCAAGTGTACAGATCATGCATTTATCTCGGGCTCCTTTTTTTTTTTTTTTTTTTCCTAGAGCTTGCACTCGACAGCGCATGCTGAGCGGATCATTTGAGGGGCAGCCAGCAAAGGAAAGGTCAATTCTCAGTGTGCAGCATCATATCCGCCAAGAGCGCAGGTAAATATACTGGGAGACAAGGCTGCAGAGAAACCAAGGAAAGGAGTTTTACAGGAAATGTTCTCTGTGCGCAGCCCTGGTTAGCAGACAGGCGTGGGTGAGGAACTTTGTTCTGTTTGTTAATGGCAACCATGATGAAACTCACAATCAGTTTCAAAGATTCAAAAAAATCTCGCAAAAACCTTTTCCTTGGTGATGGCCAAATTCTTGCTTTTAAGATCAGAAGGAAAAATTCTGAAATTTTCTAGATGGGATCAAAAACATTTGAATAAACTAAAGCTTCTGCTGAAAAGAGATAATAAGTATTTGTGATGTGTGTTATTGTGATGTGTGTTATTAACAGAAAAGTTGATTTATTTTGTTCTCCTAATGGTCATTGCTTGAAAGTCAAAATTTGGTCTTAGATGTATCGATCTGTTGGTTGTGGTTGTTTTAGATCACTAAGACATGGATCCAACAGCCAGAGGATCAGCAGGGGGAAATCTCTTGAAACCCTGACTCAAGATGTAAGTTCTAAGCAATGCTTTGGATTTGGGAAGCATGATTATGAAAATTCATTTCGATGACTGTTTAGACAATTCCAGCACTTGTGTCCTTCTGTCACATTGTCCTGTCTCCATAAGATTTTATGCCAGAGGGAATCAGGAAACTCAGGAAGCAAATTCAATGGACAGTGCAGAAGAGTGACCGTTAACTGTACAAAAATCCAGACATCCCACAAAACACATGTCTTCATTAAGATAGGCTGGGTGGCTCAGTCGATTGAGCATCTGACTCTCAATTTCAGTTTAGGTCATGATCCCAGGATCATGGGATCAAGCCCCCTATCAGGCTCCATGCTGAGTGTGGAGCCTGCTTGAGATTCTCTCTCTCTCTCTCTCTCTCTCTCTCACTCGCTCTCCCTCTGCCCCTCCCCCACTCATGCTCTCCCTCTCTCTCTCTCTCTCCCCCCTAAAATAAATTATGAAAAATTTTAAAAATTCAAAAATATAAATAATAAAGATGACAATACAAGAGTGATGTGTCAGTTGCATTTAACAGACATTAAAAACACTTAAAGCATTTTATAGAATTGATTTGCATCATAAACTTTAAACATTTACTGATTTCCAAATATTCCAGAATCTAGAGCCAGTGTCTAATTTCAGGGCTTTACATACTAAGAAATAAAATGTGATTTATAGAAGAATTTTTCTGTCAAAGACTGCATAATATTTCCCAAGAATTTCTTTGTTCTTCGACACTATGTCACTCATTTATTTATTAATGGACTCAAAAAATATTTACCAAGTGCTTATCACGTGCCAGGCCCTGTTCTAAGTGATGAGGAGTAGTGGGGAAAGAAGACAAAACTTCTGCCTTCCCGAAGCTTACATTTCAGGAAAAGAGACAAAAACTAAACAAGGAAACAAATATATAACCATTTCTGGGGGTGTTTTTGACTTATTGCCCATTATGTCTTCATTGCTGTGACAGTTTTGCTCTGTACTATAAAGAAAAATCAAACAATGTATAGAAACCAAAGATGGAGATTTGGGGGCAGGAAATTCTAGAGAAGATGGTCAGTGTTGGCGCCTCTGTATCAGACCAGAGACCCGAACGAAGGGAAAAAACAAGCCACATGAAAACCCAGGGAAACCCACGCAACCAGAACTCTATCCTCTGGGTTAGACTCGCAAGCGGCTGTATCATGCCGATTTCTAAAAGAGACTTGAAAAGTACACATTAAGTAATTATCATTACTGGAGGCCTCATTAAAATACAGGTCTTAAGTCTGGCTAAATTGGCAGAGTCCTGAATGTTCAGAGCCAAGGATGGTGTTTGAGAAAGGAGGTCTAGAAAGAGAAAGGTAGCAAGCCTTAGGGGTTTTGGGGTTTTGCTTGTCTTTTTTTTTTTTTTTTTTTTTTTTTACCACTTTATCTCTTATTGTTAAGATTTTCTGGAGTTTCCAGCATAATCCAACTGCTTTCAATCTGTAGAAACTTCTGCCTTAGAGTAAACTCTCTTAAGTGTTCCAGGCACAATTGACAATGGAAGACGTTGGTGATGAGAACACCTGATACCATCATTACCCAATTTACAAGGTTCTAATTGGCAGACACATCTGTTAGCGCCATGATTTTTAAGGCAGAGCTCTGTCTGATATGATCTACCATATTATCTGCACGGAATTGTGATCGGATCCAACACATGGCCTGTGTACATTTAATTTGAGGACCAGGCATGTTGCATGGAGAAGATTTCTAGGAGAGAATTCAGAGAGGCAACAGTAGTTCAAAGCACTTCCCTTCAGTGTGATTCAGTAGAAATATATAGTCTACTTAAGAACCAAATTAGAGCACAGCTTTGAAAATATGTGTTTAAATATACACAACAAAAGGCCCTGAATAGTCTCAATTCCAGAGGCTTAGTTCTCCTTCAAAGACTTTTTATGCTCTTTTCTACACAGGCATATAATGAAAACCCATCCCCCATCTTCTCCCCAGCAAAAGGTTATGAAGTTCTGCTAATTTCCTAAGAAATCCCCCCTGATGTCATTTCCTCCATAACAGAAGCAATTTAAAACAGAGCTTCAGTTGTCTCACTTATTCCAAATGATAGAAGATACAGATAATTAAATCTAAGGAATAGTTGTGATAATATCTATCAGGTTATTTGAGCAATGGCCATCCATCTCCCAGGGAGTGAAAATCAGAGTCAGGGTCCTACATGCCCAGGCCCTCTCCCACCCTTCTGGCCTCATTGTCTCCTACCATGTGGACGCTCACCCACACGGCACGCTGGCTGGGCCGCACACAGGCAGACCCACCTCTCCTCGGGAAGAGCACATTTTTGCAGATACACAGCGACCTGCATATCCTTCCAGCCTACACTCAAATAATGTCTTTTTATTGAGGTCTGCTATGACCTGTTTAAAGTTGGAGCCTTCTAGAGGCGCCAGGGTGGCTAAGTCTGTTGAGCGTCTGACTTTTGGTTTCAGCTCAAGGTCATGATCTCATGGTTTGTGAGATCGAGCCTGTGCTGACAGGGCAGAGCCTGCTCAAGATTCCCTTTCTCCCTCTCTCTCTGCCCCTCCCACACACTCTTTCTCTAAATAAATGGACAAGCTTTAAAAAAAAAAAAAAAGATTTAAACTTGGAGCCTCCTAGCACTCTCTGTCCCCTTTGCTTTTTACCATAACACCAAACATTTTCTAACTCTCCCCATATTGTGTTTGAATTTTTATCTGTCTTACCTGACTAGAACATTAGCCCCACAGAGCTGGGTTTTATCCTTTATTTTTGCCTTTTGCCATACCCCCAGCACTACAACAGGGCCTGGCACATAATAGGTTCTCAATAAATATTTCTATTTTAAAAAAAATACCCTTTAGAAGGAAAAAAAAATACCCTTGCTAAGATGACTGTGGCCACTAAAAACATATATGTTAAAATAAAGGTATTTCTTTCAGTTTCTTATAGGTGATATTTTCAGGCCTTCAGAAAAATCTTCCATTTTTATATGCCCCTTTTATTATATTTCTAGCATTCCAATACAGTGAGATATAGAAATGCACAAAGAGAAGACAGTGAAATAAAGATGATCCAGGAAAAAAAGGAACAAGCGGAAATGAAAAGGTATGGGGTCCTACGGTGTTTCTTATCTCTCGTTTCTGGATGGCAACCTTTCCCTTAGCCTTACTGTACATCAATTTCCCCTTCAAGGAAAGTGCAGGAAGAGGAGCTGAGAGAGAATCACCCATACTTCGACAAGCCACTGTTCATAGTTGGACGGGAGCACAGGTTCAGAAACTTCTGCCGGGTGGTGGTCCGGGCACGCTTCAATGCGTAAGTACACTCCATTTCAGCCAGGTGTTGGCCTGAGTCGTACAAACAGCAGGGGGGGTTGTCATACAAGGAAGAAGGAACATGTAATCCTAATGGGGTCACAAAATAAACTGTGGGCTAATTAATCATGCTGCTCCTCTTTGCTGAGCGGCCGACCAGGTGGAAAACAAACAAAGGTTGCAAGTAGTTCACATTTATATAAAACTCACGTTTCTAAAGCTCTGAACAGCCATTTTTATTTGTTCATGTTTAAATCAGCGTTACTAACTCCATATATTGTTTTGGAAATACCGAGCCAAAGGGTAGGCTGAATGACACAGGGAAGGTCATTGCCCACACCTTTAGACTTATAGTTTCTGTGTTGTCAAAATACCCTAGTTTCTTCTAGAATAATGTAAAACAGAAATAAAGTTGACGAGTACTTCCATTACCAACTCTTATGAGATAAAAACCCACTGGCTGATGTCTCTGTCCCTACTCACATGGAAGAAATGTGTAAGAGTCTGTCGGTGTGGTCAACACAGAGGACACTGCATTTGTGAGGACCCAAGCCAATTTTAGCAGACAGCTTAGTGGATAAAATGGAATTTTTGTCCTGCGTAACTTTAGTAAATATCCTGAAGACCTTAAGAGTCCCAGAGGAAGTGTGAAGGCTTTCCCTCTAAGTGGTTGTAACTTCCCTGATGCCATTATTAGTAACATATGATAATCATTATCTGTTATGGGCTGAATTGTGTGTATCCTCCTGCCAAAAAAAAAAAAAAAAAAAAAAAAGGTTGTACATTGAAGCCTTAACCCCTAGTACCTCAGAATGTGACTTTATTTAGAAACAGCCTCTTTAAGGAGGTAATTAAATTAAAATAAAGTGATTAAGGTGGGCCCTAATCCAATATGACTGCTGTCCTTATAAGGGGGAAATTTGGAGGCGCCTGGGTGTCTCAGTTGGACTTTGGCTCAGGTCATGATCTCACAGTTCATGGGTTTGAGCACCGCATCAGGTTCTGTGCTGACAATTCAGAGCCTGGAGCCTGCTTCAGATTCTGTGTCTCCCTCTCTATCTGCCCCTTCCCGGCTCCTGCTCTGTCTGTCTCTCTCAAAAATGAATAGGGGCGCCTGGGTGGCGCAGTCGGTTAAGCGTCCGACTTCAGCCAGGTCACGATCTCGCGGTCCGTGAGTTCGAGCCCCGCGTCGGGCTCTGGGCTGATGGCTCAGAGCCTGGACCCTGTTTCTGATTCTGTGTCTCCCTCTCTCTCTGCCCCTCCCCCGTTCATGCTCTCTCTCTGTCCCAAAAAAATAAATAAACGTTAGAAAAAAACAATTTAAAAAAATGAATAAACATAAAATTTTTTTTTAAAAAAGAGGAGGAAATTTGGACACAGACTACCTATAGAGAGGAGTAATGTGAAGAAACAGGGAAAAGACAGCCATCCACAAGTGAAGGAGAGACACCTAGAACAGGTCTTTGCCTCACGGCCCCCAGAATCAACCAACCCTGCCCACACCTTCATCTCAGGCTTCTTGCCTCCAGAACTGAGAGAAAATGTTTCTGTTGTTTAAGCCACTCAGTCCGTGGTACTTTGTTACACCAGCCCTAGGAAACTAATACAGTGTGGTAATATTTCAGAGCTGGAGGACACCTCGTGAACCATTTGGTGTCATTTGTACCCACCCCCCTCCAACAGAGGAGAGCACTTAGGGCAGTAGAGGTTAAGGGCTTTTCTTGGGAACCTGAGCTAGTGCAAGGCTCTCTTCTGACTACCAATCTAGTGTTCTCTCTGCTGTTCTAGAAAGACCCTCACAGTTTAAAGCACCTGAATGATAATGATTAAATACTTCCCTGAGTGTTCACAAAGTAAAGAAAGAAGCCAGTAGTTTAGAGTTGATTTGATCAGTTCCCCAAGTGAGTGTTTCATCTGGAATTATCCTGTTGGCTGCCTCCATGCTAACATCTAATTGCTAATTCTCCACTTCATTTAGTGTGGACTGACTCTCCTTTTGTCAGCACAGCAGCTGATAAGGACTGAGAAAGACTTGTTAATCGGGAGCTCACACACACATGCACACACACACACACACACACACACACACACACACACTGTCTGGGGCTTCACTGAAGTTGGTTATGGGCTTCTAGAAAGTAAAACTTAAAAGTGGGGACGCCAAGAAATCCTACCTAAATCACTCCACAAGATCACAGTTAAATACAGTAGGAAGAGCTCTATTTAATTTCTGGAGATTTAATTGAATAATCATGAGGAAAATCCTTGAACTGCTAAGGCCGAGATTTTAACTGAGTGTTTTTAAATGGAAGTCAAAATTCTACTTTGTCATATCCATGTCAAAAATTGTTGAGGGACTCCTGGGTGGCTCAGTTGATTGAGCATCAACTTCGGCTCAGGTCGTGATCTCACAGTTCATGGGCTTTGGTGCTGACAGCTCAGAGCCTGGAGCCTGCTTCAGATTCTGTGTCTCCCTCTCTCTCTCTCTACCCCACCCCCACACTCTGTCTCTCTCCCTCTCAAAAATAAATAGACATTTAAAAAAAAGTTGTTGAGCGGAGGAGGGGCATGTAGGTGGCTCAGTCGGTTAAGCGTCTGACTCTTGATTTCGGCTCAGGTCATGATCTCGAGGTTCACAAGATGGACCCCCATGTCAGGCTCTGCGCTGAGAGCGTGCTGCCTGCTTGGGATTCTCTGTCTCCCTCTCTCTGCCCCTCCACTGCTCGCTCACTCTCTGTCTCTCAAAAAAAATAAACAAACATTAAAAAAAAGAAATTGTTGAATGGAGTCATGAATTCTAAAATCAAATATTTTGAGAATTTTCAATTACTTTCACAAACATCAGCTGCAAACCCTCCTGCTTTTTCTTTCATCTAATGCTCTCTGCCTTCCAAAGGCATAGTTCCTGTATAATGTAATTTTATAGAGGATATAAAAGAAATTTTAGGTAGATAAGATGTTTATAAATACCATGCTGCTAAATTATGCTTGCTATGCTGCAGAATTTTGTGTTTGTTCTCTCTTGCAGATCTAAAACAGATCCTGTCACAGGAGCTGTGAAAAATACAAAGTACCATCAACTTTAGTAAGCATTACAAAGTCTGTTTTCTGTGCACATTTGAAATTTCAATGTACTATTTTATGCTGCATAAAAATATAAAGATTACCTGTATTTTCTTGCCATATCGTGCTGTGAAATAGATAATTAGGGATTTTTTTTAATGCCAGTCATGGGGCACCTGGGTAGCTCAGTCAGTTGAGTGTCTGACTCTTGATCTCAGTTTAGGTCATGATCTCACACAGTTCATGGGACTGAGCCCCACATCGGGCTCTGTGCTTACAGTGTGGAGCCTGCTTGGGATTTTCTCTCCCTCTTTCTCTCTCTGCCCCTCCCCTGCTCATGCACACACACATGTGCATGCTCTCTCTCTCTCTCTCTCTCTCTATCTCAAAAATAAATACATAAACATTTTTTTAAAAACGCCAGTCCTGCTTATAGAATCACAGAAGGATCATCTCTGACTCGCACAGCCTTCCCTAGAACAGTTGTTTCTCGGTTTTGTTTGGTCTTTGGCAGTGATTTGCTGGGATTGGTGACTTACCTGGACTGGGTCATGATCATCGTAACCATCTGTTCCTGCATTTCTATGATGTTTGAGTCCCCCTTTCGAAGAGTCATGCATGCCCCGACTTTGCAGGTACGGCTGCCAAATCTCAGCCCACGGCTCAGCAGACAACAACTGGGCTCCAGTTTTCCCCTTGTTGGTGACCCAGCTGCCTCTTGCCCATTTCAGATTGCTGAGTACGTGTTTGTGATATTCATGAGTATCGAGCTTAATCTGAAGATTATGGCAGATGGCTTATTTTTCACTCCAACTGCTGTCATCAGGGACTTTGGTGGAGTCATGGACATATTTATATATCTTGTAAGTCTCTAGTTATTTCCTAAATGTAAGATGTCATGGTTTTGTGAACTCTCCTGCATTTCTCAGTACAAGAGAAAGATACGTGAGTCCCAGAGGTTTAGATGTCATTACTGAGTTCTTAGGTCATCTATTGCAGGCAAATGAAGGGCATGCATGTAAAGTCTAAATAAAAAGCATTAAAAATGTCCATGGATATGGTTCACATACATCAACCACATTAATACACATGTAAGACATACATTAATAAGGTCTAATAAATCTTATTCGCACCCTGCAATCTTGTGGCTCCCATAAGGAAAAAAAATCTACACCATATAATTGATTGATGAACTCCTCATTGCTAAAAGCAACCTAATGTGAGTATGATTGGACACTTTCAATTCCAATTTCTTTCAATTCCTATACAAAAAATATCTGCCTAGACAAGATGACCATTCAACTGTTCAGTTAAACTAAATTGGGAAACCATAGGAAGGGAACTCAAAGAAATTTCATTTTTTCTGTATGTCCAAGAAGGCATAAAATCAATGTCTTTTCCAACATAACAAGGAGAATTGTGACCGTTAACATGTAGTATCTTTAGATCATCAGTAAAATAGTGAGAATCAGGTCAAGCATGAAGTTTAGTATCCTTGATCAAAGGAATTTCAATCTGAGCCTCCCATGTGTAAGTTAAAATAAGGTGCAGAATGCACTGGGGTACATGCACCCACAGTGTGGACACCCGCTTTTCATTTCTGTGTACAGCTAATGACTTTCCTGTGGGGCCACTAACAGGTCGATATTGGGTTGAGAGATCAGAGTTAAGAGATTGCATATATATGTAGTGAAAGCTTATCCTACATGCTATGTGGAATCTCTGCTCAAGGAAAGTTGTATGCACTTGGCTCTCAGAAAGTGTAAGTAGTGAAAGATATTAATTCTAGGGATTAATTCTAGGGATTATTTTCCCCTCCCAGGTGAGTTTGATATTTCTTTGTTGGATGCCTCAAAATGTGCCTGCTGAATCAGGAGCTCAACTTTTAATGGTTCTTCGGTGCCTGAGACCTCTGCGGATATTCAAACTGGTGCCCCAGATGAGGAAAGTTGTTCGAGAACTTTTCAGCGGCTTCAAGGAAATTTTCTTGGTGTGTTACATTTACCCTTTTGCCTCCCACTCACACAGCCCCACGCTGTAATGTAGTGAATGAGGGGACACCCTCGCTTGCCAAGGGTAAGTACAATCTTATTCATTGCCAGAGGACAAGAAAGGCACTAACAAAACACAACACACAGTCAGAAACTTTACCCATGGATGCTCTGACTGGTCAGTATATTTTCTTGATATAACTTATTCAATGAACGTTTTTAGTAAAAGTATAATGAAAGCAAGAATCCCAGAGGTAGAATTTGCTAATACTTCCATTCTTAACTCGTGACCCTAATTTTATTCTGAGTTTCAGTTTCCTTATCTAGAAATTAAAGGTGAGATTCAACACCACCTACTGCACAAATATTAGCAGTCAATAGATTTGGGCTTATTATTTCATTTTGTATGTCCCTAGTTTCTTACAGTGTAGACGCTGTCTCTGATCTTTGGAGTGTTAACATAAAACAACTTTAAAAAAAAGTAACATACAGGTATACCCCACTTTAAGTAACCTCAGGATACAGTAATAATACTAAAAATGTGATCGAAGGAGAAAACGTTGTTAGTTGAGCACTGATTTAGGGCCTTAGAAGAGCTGGGCTGCAGAAAAGCAATGAGTAGGAGGCTCATTGCTCGCAATCTGTTACAGAAGGATCTGTGCCTTACAAAGGAGTGATCAAAGGGTTCTTTTTATTATTGATGAGTTCTGCTCATGCATGGAAATCCTGAATTAATTTACATAAGCTTATTTTACATCGTGCTTTCTAGAAACACACCTATGGGGAGAGAACAGTTGTAGTTACAGTTGATTCTAAGGTATTTTAAAGACAGGTTGCGATGTTTCCATAGGCATAGAGTTGTTGGTATTTTTAAAAGACATATTTGAAATCTCACATTTTCTTTGTGCTAAAGCCATAACATGGTGGCTTTTCACACAGCTGGAAATGAAGGAAAAAAGGATGTCATCACCTGACAGCTAATATATATATGCATCATGGAGCCCTGGTAGGATTTAGCAGAGAATTTTTTTGTGCCTTTCTCCTGGTGATGTTTTTGTAGAATTTTAGTATATCGAAGATACATGTTTAGATTATTCAACCAACACAGATCAGTGGTTTGTTCAGTGTTTTACTCTTTGCCACTTTTCTGTGCTGAGACCAAGGCACCATCCAGCAGAGGGAGCACCAATTAACAGACTTACTTCTTAGGACTCCATGATCTCAGTCCTCTGTGTACAGCACTTTTGTGTGTCCTCATTGCTTACAAGAAAGCAAAACCTCTCTCTCTCTAATTTAGGCTCTGCTTATAAGGAGAGGAATTCATTTTGAGAAAATAGGGGAAATATAATTATTTAAACATTTCTCTTTTGTTCCACTAATGTAGATTTCAAAATCAGAAAACCCCAAGCCATATCAAAAATACCTTAGCCCATTTTCCTACATGGAAGTCATATGTTTTTATTCTGAAAATCCAAAACCTGTTGTTAATTCCCTCCTTTTAGCATTTCAGCAAGGCTAATTGAATGACCTGTGGTGGAGAAGTTAAATAATATCATGAAAAGACCAAGAATTTCATACCACGTTCTCCAAAAAGTTGTGTCCCTATCACTGTTCAAATCAAGCCTACTGTTTAATTTTTTACCAGGAGATATGATGTCTCACCAATTTTTTTTTTTCAGGTCTCCATTCTTTTGCTGACATTAATGCTTGTTTTTGCAAGCTTCGGAGTTCAGCTTTTTGCGGGAAAACTGGCAAAGTGCAATGATCCTAACATTATTAGAAGGGTAAGTTACTGCTTTCTTTCTTTTGGGAGAAAAAATTGAGTAGTTCACCACCCCTTGGTAAACATGTGCTGACACTACGTTGATAACCCCCACGTAAGACTCAGAATTCTCTCTCCACCAACCCCTTCTGCTTAAAGGAGGCAGTCTGTTTCTTCTGGCTAGCACAGGTTTGTGGGATTAAAAGCACACTCCAGATTATTCTATTGTCTTCTGTTGTTCCAGTGTGGAACCTCTGTTGACACCTTTGGAATAGCCAGTCACGATTCCAGATGCTTGTAGCTGTGAGGCTCGGACACTCTCCCTTTGGGCTTCCCTAACTTAATCCTGTCACATATCAGCAAACAACCCCCCAGAAAGGACAAGAGGCAAAGTTTAACTGTCATACCACTGTTCATTACTTCTCACTCCATCATTCTCTTCATTGGGAAGTCCAGAATCTTCCCCAATAAGACAGCTAACAAAGACCCAAGCTTGCTTCTTCCACTACTGCCCTTTGCCTTATCTTTCTTCAGTCAGTGTTAGTAAGTGGAGGCCAGCTCCTGGGTGACCCCAGGGTTTCATTTGCTGAACATAATGGAGTGAATACATTGCATCTTGAATAAGGTGGACAGCTCTCCTCTGAATGACCAGTCAGAGCCTCAAGTTCCTTTTGTCTTCCTTCCTTCCTTGCTGTCTTCAATGTCTTCTCTGTTCAGCTGGCAGAGAAGAGCACAGAACTCCCTCCATGCCTGAGGGTTATGGTCAGGGCCAAAAGCAGCACACCTCACTTCAACACACATTTCACCAGCAAGACCTTGGCCTCCCGAGGCAGGTGGGAGAATGCAACAGGTGGCTCAGTGATGTGTCCTGCAGAAAAACAGGATGAGTGTGGTTACAATCAGCCATCACTGCTACACTATCCAGTGTGCCTTCCCTTAGGATTCTGCCCTATATTCAAGTAGATTCATGAAGTGATCCAAGTACTGCTAACGTACAAACAGCGAAAGCATTTCCTCTTTCATCCAGGTAAAATAATGCCTTAAGTCCATTAAGACGCACATACTCAAAAGGCCTAATACAGCTGAACTATAATACCTATTTCTATGTTTCCAACAAATATGGCTATCTAATACAGATTTTACATCAGTATGAAAATTTCTACATTTTCAGAGCTACTGACTGTAAACATTATTCATGCTCTGATGGTTATAAAATGCATCTTTGCCCAATCAAAGTACATTATCAATTATGTTAATAGTGAGGATTTCAGTAAGTGGCAGAGCAGAAGAGACACCACCTGTGTCTCCAGACATTCCAGGAACTTCGATAAACCTGAGAAAACATAACAAGGAACATGGCATAAAGGTCACGATGTATCAAATTAGCTAACAAAGGAGGTAATAAAGAACTGATGCGTTAATCCACAAGCTCAGGTAAGCCAAGAAGGGTTAGTTTAGATTCCCACTGAATAGAGGCCGAAAAGATGACAACAACATTTCAAGATGAAACCTACGAGGAATTTGCAGGACTCAGTATATTAATAATGGCTTAAGAGCATTGTGATTTTACACTCTCTGCTCATACCCAGACCTGGCTAAGGATAGAAGTACAAAGAGGATAAAGAACTTGTCCAAGGTCACCCTAAAATAAATGGGGAAGCTAAGATTCATGTCAAGGCAGCATGGCCCCAAATTCCTTGCTTTTCACCAGGATGTCAGACAGCCTCACCCACTCAAAGCTGGGCTCCCATGGGCTCAGAAAGACAAACTGGAAGAGGCCAAGAGGCCAAATATATCATGGGGCCTCTATTTGATACACCACAGCACAGCCAACAGGAATAATGTTGCAGATGAATGTGTAGGGTTACTATGAAAACTTAACTGCAATATATTTTAACTGAAAAAGTGGGCTATGGAAGAGTGAAAACTGTACGATCACATATATGCATAGGAAAAAAAACCTGGAAATATAAATGCCAAAATGTCAATTGTGTTTATCTTTGGGTTATTGTAGGTAAGTTTATCCACGCTTTTTAAGTTAAAGGGATATCATTGGTGTAAGAAGGCTTTTTATTCTAAGGAATTTCACTGCAATCCAAAGAGAAGTAATATTGGTATTCACTAAACTAGTGGAAATAAGAATGGAGATGAGGCCCAAGCGGGATGGGGAAACCCATAGACAATTCTGCATCTTGATGCTGGGGGCCGACAAGGTGCTGGCCCATGGACAGAAACTGGGAAGCTGGGAGGACGCAAGGCTGAAGGTTGAAGGTGACTTTAACTAGGTTAGACTTTGAAGTTCCGTTGATATATCCCAAGTGTATACACATTATACCCAGGAAAGGGGTTTAGGTTCAAAACATGACAATCACAGGCAAAGAAACAAAGATAAAACAAAAAGAATAAAGACAGAAAATGAGTGAAAATCTTCTTACTCATGTTTTAGTTTTAAAGTCTTTTAAAAACAATGTTATTGGAGATATAATTCACATACTGCACAATTCACCCACTCGGAGTGTACAATTCAATAGTTTTTAGCATATCCAGAGTTTTACAATTGTCAGGCTTAGAACATTTTTTTAAATGTTTATTTATTTTGAGAGAGAGAGAGAGACAGAGAGCACGAACGGGGGAGGGGCAGGGAGCGAGGGAGAGAGAGAGAGAGAGAGGGAGAGAGAATCCCAAGCAGTGGAGCCTGATGTGGGGCTTGATCCCGTGAAACGTGAGATCATGACCTGAGCTGAAATCAAGAGTTGGATGCTCAACTGACTGAGCCATCCAGATGCCCCAGGCTTAGAGCATTTTTATCACTTCAAAAAGAAACATTATCTTTTAAGTTTCACCCTTATACTCCTGACACCCCCATCGCAAAACAACCACAAAACTACTTTCTGCCTTATAGAGTTCCTTGTTTTTGACTCTTATATGAATGGAATCATCTAACATGTGATCATTAGTGGCTGACTTCTTTAATTTAGCATAATGTTTTCGAGGTTCATCCATGTTGTAGCGTAGGTCAGTGCTTCATTCCTTTGTAGGACTGAAAAATATTCCATTGCATGGATACACCATATTTTATTGATGTAATTTATTCATCCACTATGAACATTTGGATCATTTCCACCTTTTGGCTATTATAATTAATGCTATTTACAATAATAATGACATAAACATTCATGTACAAGTTTCATGTAGATATCTGTGTTCATTTCTCTTGGATAAATACCTAGGGGTGGAATTTCTGGGTCCTCAAGTAATTCTTTGTTTGATTGTTTGAGGACCTGTTTTCCAAAGTGGCTGTAGCATTTTCCAATCACAGCAGCAGTGTGTAAGGGTTCTAGTAGGAGGATTCCAATTTCTGCACAACCTCGTCAAAGTTTATTTGATTTTTGATGATAGCCTTCTTAGTGGATGGCACGTGTTATCCCATCATGGTTTTGACTTGCATTTTCTGGCTGAATAATGACACTGAGCATCTTTTCATGTTCTCATTGGCCATTTGTATGTCTTCCTTGAAGGAATATCTGTTCAGATCCTTTGCCTACTTGCAAATGTTTCTAGCATGAACTTTTACCACTCATCTCTGCAGTCCTTGTCCCTGTTTGCTGGATAGCTGCCCACATCACTGTTATCACATAAAAACCTCTGTTATTCAGGGTGCCTAGGTGGCTCAGTCGGTTAAGCTTCTGACTCTTGATTTTGGCTTAGGTCATCATCTCATGGTTTGTGGGAGGGACCACTCACCAGGCTCTTTGCGGACAGCGTGGAGCCTGCTTGGGACTCTGTCTCTCTCCCCTCTCTCTGCCCATTCCCTGCTTATGTGCAAACGCTGTCTTGCTCTCTCTCTCTCAAAAATAAGTAAATAAATATTTTTTAAAAAACCTGTTATTCTAGGTTAAAATGTGCTTTCTTATCTTTTATCTTTTTGGAGTTCATTTTCCGACCAGGCTCCCCCTGACCTGTTTTCTTCTATTTTAGGAGGATTGTAACGGCATATTCAGAATTAACGTAAGCGTGTCCAAGAACTTAAATTTAAAATTAAGACCTGGAGAGAAAAAGCCTGGATTTTGGGTGCCCCGTGTTTGGTAAGCATTTCAGAAAAAGATCCTGAAGAATGTGATATTTATCAGTATAAGGTTTTAAATCAATAAAATTTGGCATGAAAAGTAATTTTGCCAGAGGTGCTAAAATGATTTTAAATAATACAAGCCAAAGCCCTGAATTACAACAGGATGCAAAAATACAGTAAATGAGAGAGCAAGTGGTACACTGAGTCCCATGTTGTTTCATGTAACTAATGGATTATCACCCCTCTATTTTTCTAATACTTTGAAGTATGTAACTCGATTCGCATGGCATTAAAAATTAGTGAGGCTTAAAAGACAAAGATTTTCTATCAAATTAAAACCAAACTCGTCCTGAGTTTATATCTTTAAGGGAGAATCTGATATCCTCATAACAGTTGTATAGAAGCCCAAATCAGAAAGCTGTTTCAATTTTAAAACGCATTTACATGGAAGGATTTCCATTATCGAAACGCCGGAAAGGAGTAATCAGTAAAACAAATGATTATATCTAACTTTCTCTTTAAAATTCATTTTTCCTGAAAATGAGTTTTCAAAGCACTTACATCAAAGCTAGAAGTGCCTAGTACCTTCTTTTTCATCCATTTTACTGATGGCAATGAATGAAATCTCTCAGTGGGCTTCATTGATGAACTAAGTGTCCTATTAACTTCATTTGTCCTTTTAAATAGTCATCTGTTTTCTTTTTTTTTTTTTCATTTTACCTCTTAGAATAACAAGTGAACCACAGCAAAGACTCTGCTTTTGTCACAATTGATGTTTTCTAGGAAATGTCAAAACTCTTTAAAAGAAATTGCATTTCACCCAGTTGCACCCTTAGGACCCATTGCTACCAGCTTTGGCATTTCACTGTTGTGAAATTCACTTTTAAAAACAATTCAGTACAACTTATACTGGGTTTTTATTTTTTTCAATACCAAAGAATTATGAAAAAAAAAAAAAAGATGAATTTGACTGTGTGGCTTCAGCTGGAGCAGGAAGTACATAACACACAAAGATATCCTTATCCCAGTGCTAACTATAAAAGAAGTCTAATTTATATTAAAATAAAATATGAAAGAAACATAAAAAGTTTATTTTTTGTGAGGTGAAAATGCATTATTATACCATAAATAATTTGTTTATATCAAGACATCAAATGGGTCTTCTTTTTCCTGCTGTTTTGGAATTTTGGCAAAAGCTTCAAAGCTGAGGTCACTAAGAGATAAAATTTCATTATATTCCAAAGAAAGCAACATTGCCAGTCCCAGCTGAACTTCCTAAAAGATTATCCACCTCCATCACCCAGCTCCAGGAAAAGAAAACACCAAATACTCAGAGACAGCATCGTGAAATTGAGTGAATTCAGTAGACGGTGCTGTGGTCGCTCCTGCTTTACTATGGGAAGAGGTCAAGGGTGCTTGTCTCCCCAGCTGAGTGAGTCCTCATGGGGACTGCGTGATATCAGAGATTGATGAGGCAAGAAGAGACACTCATGTAGGCAAGCGCTCTTCACCACCTGACAGGGGAGTTATCAGTGTTGGAGGCTCCAAATCATCACTGCCTCGGGCCAGTGATCTGAGCCATCGTGATGGAACTCTGTTCCAAAGGGCTATGTGCTGGAGGGGGGTGCTCCTATTGGAGAGGCTGTGGGGATGTTTCCAGGAATGGGAACTGAGAGTCATCTGAAGACTACTCTCAGCAGGAATGACACAATGGGGCACCCTCGTGCTGGAGGATGTTTCAGAATCTAGTGTATTAATAGAAAATTTGAGGTATAATAAAGTCAACAGATCGAAGGACAATTGTCATTGAAGAGCTGGTTTGTTACTCATAGTTCCCACTATGGGGCAAACCACACCACAGAAGGCCACACAGGGAAGCCCCAGGGTCAGTCATGAGGCAGAGGGAAAAAGGGAACTGTGGACCAGAGCTTTTATTGTGGTTTCCTTGAGTTGGAATGGGTGAGTCAGGGCAAGCAGGCTTAGCATTAGCTAGTTGAGTAACTTCAATGGGCTCTGAGACACAGGGCTCTCCCTAGTGGTCTGCTACCTGGTGATCAGGGCAGGTGGATAGTGGCCCAAAGGGTGGAAGCCTGATAAAGGAGGTACTTGGGGCTGTAGGCTCTGGGTTGGTTGGTCTGTATTTGAAAAGCAAGCCCTAGGGGCTCCTGGGTGGCTCAGTCGGGTAAGTGTCCAACTTCAGCTCAGGTCACGATCTCGCGGTTCACGAGTTCAAGCCTGGCATTGAACTCTGTGCTGACAGCTCAGAGCCTGGACCCTGCTTTAGATTCTGTGTGTTTCTCTCTCTCTCTCTCTCTCTCTCTCTCTCTGCCTCTCCCCCACTTGCGCTCGGTCTCTCTCTCCAAAGGTAAATAAACATTAAATTTTTTTTTGAAAAAAAGAAAAGCAAGCCCTAGAAAGGACTCTTCCAAGGAGGTGGGAAGGTGATGAGAGAGGCAAGAGGCCAAGGCAGGGTGATTCAGGCATTTTATCAGGTTGTCCAGAGCAAAGTGTGTCCAACACATGCATGGAGGACAGACATTAAAGTATCAAGTGTACGGAAATTAGGAACATGGCAGGCAGTGGGTTCCATGAAAGAATAGTTGCTATGACCAGAGCAACAGTGGCCAGCAGTATGAGATATGTGGAATTTAACCTCATTTCTCTACGTCCAACTGCATCCCACTGCCATCTTGTTAAGAATCAGATGGTGGCCTGAAGAGGAGGAGGGAACAGAGTGGTCAGCCCTCTTCTTCCCTCCTCAAACCACGGGTCAGGCTGAGAGGCTGAGGATAGGGTCTTTAAACGGGTTATGGGAACAAGGGTTTGATGTAGAACAAAGTGGACTTTTCAGAATGAGACTCATATAACTGAAAGTGACAAAAAAAGCTTTGGGATCTCCAAGATGTCAGGAAGGGAGCTAGAACCCACTGGAAGGCAGTGTTGGGAGAAAAGTAAACCTGTTGCCAGTTGTACCCTCTGACATTCAGCTTGTTCCATAAAAATCCAAATTAACTGAAATGCAATGTTTCATGTAAGTTATTATTTGGGGTTTCAAGTTCAATGGCACTTTAAAAGCATAAGCTGATAGGGGGGCATCACTTGAACACCATAACAATAATGCTTGTCCATTTGTCCAGAATACCATGACTTGGGTTAGTTTTGGTAAAATAAAAATCTTTTGTCAAATAAACACCAGCTATAACTATGATAATTTTTACATTTTCCTTTGTTAGTAAGCTCATCAAGAGTTAGCAGCCAAGATGTTATAGTTTTATATTGGCAAATTTATGATTAAGAAAATAACATATCTGGAGAACTGGCATTAGGGAATGCTTTGATAATTATAATTAGGAAGGCTATAAATATGCACTACCTAATTCAGGTGATAGTCAGGCTTCCATATTCTCTGTTCAGATGAGTACATTCATCTTCTTCTGAATCACTCAGACTTGATGAGATAAAAATTACCTTGGTAAAAAGTATAAAATATATATATTACAAATATTATGTGTTTTGTTTTAAGCAGAGGTCTGGGACATAGGAAAATGGGATGCATAAGAGATATCAAAAAAAAGTATTCAGTTTCAATAGATATATTCATTGAGTGCTTACTATTCTCCAGACATTACGCTATTACTGGGGACAAGCTATGGCCCCCAATCCCTAGGAGCTTGAAATGTAATAAAGAACAGGAGATAATATTACAAATAATGTAATATGATTTGTTAAAGGCTTTGATGCTACATAAATAAGCCCCTTAGCTCACTGGAAGCTTACCTGGAGTTGACTTCTAGGTAATTTTAAATTATAGTGTGATACATTCTAGGCAGAAGATCAGATTTTTGTTGAGTCTACAGCTCAAACAATTTGAATATGCTCTTTAAGGAGAAGAATATAAATCTATCTCACTTTTGTAAGTTTAACAGAAACATGACTACTTCCAGCATCTTGGAAGGGCCATTTTGGATAGTGTTGCCCCCCGTATTTCTACATCCAAGGGCTCAGGCTGAGCTCCTCTCCTCCTGGGGGCTCCTTCTTCCCAAAGGAGCAACCCTCCTTATCGCAATCTTGGGACCTTGGGGCACTTTTCACGGGGAGGTAGAAGATTAACAAAACTGTAAGGTTAGAACCAATGTCTTAGTTTTCTCAATTGGATGGACAAGATTATGATATTTTTAAAATTTTTTAATTGACTGGAAAAGATTATATACAACATTATATACATATATTATTATATATTATATATATATATATATATATATATATATATATATGATTATATACAGGCTTCCAGATCAAGGAAGGGTGACAGGAAAATTACAACAATGGATTAGGCTTGGGATTTATTGAAGTCCTCTGTAGTTATAGGTAAAGTTTAAAACTTTCCAATTTTAGTAGCATGAACATAGCATGAACATCTTAGATGATTAAAACTGATACTTATTTTTTTAATGTGATGTACTCTTCCAACTATTTAAGTCTATGAGTCTCCATTTTATTTTTCTTGGTTTAGCCTAAAAGTGTATTTTTAACATATTCTAACTTCTAAAGGATGTGGAACATGAAAGTACTTTGGGATGCTGCATATTCAGCTAAAAAAGCACTTTTACATAAAGAAAATGGATGGGTAAGAAAGTTCAACATCGGATCCGAGAGCTGGCCTGCTTAGCTTAAAAAAAATCCTTATTCAAGAAAACTGTGGCATCTGCAGAATCCTTACAGCTTCTGTCTGCTGTAAAATATATTAAATTTAATTGAAACCCCAAAGGAAGAAATGGTGGAAAAATCCAAGAGAATATGCTTATACTTTCATATGTAAAAAATATAAATCAGAACCCCAAAATAGGAATTTCTGAGTGGGGCTTTTGCACTATGTGGAAAACGTTTCTACCGATCATCCTTAAACCTTAGGAGCAAGTCAGTTTAGTTGTATGGTTTCTTATTAGATCCCCATCTATTTAATGCTTTTAAAAAAGAAAACTTATAAAGGTGTATTGCATGATTGTTTCTATGATGTTAAAATTATATATATATATATATATATATATATATATATATATATATAGTGGTAGAGGGGCACCTGGGTGGCTCAGTTGGTTAAGTGGGCGACTCTTGATCTCACCTCAGGTCTTCATCTCAGGGTCATGAGTTCAAGTCCCGCATTGGGCTCTGTGCTGTACACGAAGCCTACTTTAAAAAAAAAAAGGTGTAGAAAAATACTAACCCAGATTTTCTCCAGAGTATCACCTTCTGTGAAGGTTAAATTTTGATAAATGAGCTAATAGGAAAAAAAATGATCAAAATATAATTTGGCCATGCTTCTATAGGCCCACTTTTTTTAGTAGTCCTGGGACCAATTCTCCATCAAACTCAGGAAATACAGTGATAGTCATGACTTTGCAGTGTGTAGTTGTCTAGGTCTTGTAATTATTTTAAATAGTCTAATAAGAGGAAAAAGGAAAACAGTGAAATCTTCTATGGACAAGAAAAATGTTAGACAAGACCCATAATGACTAAGGGAGATGTAATATATTAAAAAAAAAAATCACTTTCTTTCGTGGGAAGAAAAAAGTAAAAACACGTTAGTAAAAAACAAGAAACGCAATACGCCCCCTCAAAAAAAAAAAAGCAAAAACAAAAACAAACAAACAAAAAATAATAGTGGAGCCAAAGTGTTTTAAATACCAGCAATCAAGTGTGGATGTAGACAGCATACTGCAATGTTGGGGGCTACAAGAAGTCTCTGTTGAGAACACCCAGAGTTAGTGAGAGAAAAAAAAATCCAACTGGGAGAAAATGATCTGGAAACATGTAGACTACCAGCAAACACCTCTGGCCGCTCAGGGACTTCCAAATGCATCACTACTTTACAAAGTGATGTTCCCATGATGTCACAGAATTAAAGAAAGTGGCTAGATTCTACTCTTTTTATACTTGCTATATTAACATCAGGAATTGTAATTTATCCTTTAGAGAAGTTTTCAATTTTAAAACTATTGCAAAATTCATATCCAAACTCCAGCGCCCCTTTGTGAGAATATGCTATGCAGTTTATAACCAGAAAGCATACTTCCAGCCCTCCATATAATCAGGACGAGCCAGAAACGTCAAGGAACCTCTAGAGCCAGAACTTGAATTGTTGTGTTTTGTTGTTCGTTAAGAACACCCCATGATTACCTAATAATTAATTAAATTTTAAGAAATAATAACATATTCATGCACTTTTCTGATTTAGCAAATGAATGCCAGCTAGCACGCCTTCCAAATGCTAAGTACACCCCGCACCCAAGATTGGAAAGAACTACAGATATTTGCCTTAGGGTGCTTCTCATCGGAATTTCACAGAACATTCTTCTTTCTGACTTGCAGGGCAAATCCTCGGAATTTTAATTTTGACAATGTGGGAAATGCCATGCTGGCATTGTTTGAAGTTCTGTCCCTGAAAGGCTGGGTGGAAGTGAGGGATGTTATTATTCATCGTGTGGGGCCGGTAAGCAAGCACACGGAATCCTTTGAATGTGTCAACAGCTGCTCTCATTTGCTTTGATGAATAACCGTATTTTTCATTTATACAGATGCACGGGATCTACATTCATGTGTTTGTATTCCTGGGTTGCATGATTGGACTGACCCTTTTTGTTGGAGTAGTTATTGCTAATTTCAATGAAAACAAGGTAAGAATTCTTGGTTTGAATACCGCAGGGTTTATTCTTTTCTAGCCACTTGCTTTGAGCTCTCTTTTTCTCACACGGCATGAAGTCGCATTAAACCATAATGTGACTGGTGTAAATAATCTCTATAACTATTTTACAAGCTACCTCATCGCTGCCTTTCAGGCACATTATTTAAGAGCACAGTTCTCTCGCGAAATTTCCCCTTTTGGTGATGGTGTCATTAATTCGCTGACAACTGAAAGGCACATCTCCTATTGTTCAAATTGAAAGGATGTGCAGCAAGTTATTAAAATACAATAGCTGAACTAACTGTGCACTGATTGCAGGTAATATTACTTTCACACAATGTAAATTGGATGCTTCTTTGTAACGCTATAGGTGAACTCAGAATTTTGATGGGGCTGGGGTGCAGTAGAAATGTTAAATCCTAATTCATTGAATATAAAGAAGATTTTCTAATTTCATATAAAAACTTTACGTACTTTATGAACTCGGGAAGCATGCTGAGTTCAGAGCAACTCTAACAATCACTATAAGAGCTCCCGAACGGGAAAGCAGCAAGTGTGGTTTCCTGTCAAAGAGTGAGTTTGGGAGAGAACATTCTATGTCGTTCTTCTGTCCATGGCTGATGTGCACTCTAGTATGTAAGGATCTGTCTTCTGGAATCATAATTGAAGTGCATACAGCTTTTTTAAAAAATTTTTTATGTTTTTTTTATTTTTGAGAGAGAGAGACAGAATGCAAGTGGGGGAAGGGGCAGAGAGAGAGGGAGACACAGAATCCAAAGCAGGCTCCAGGCTCCAAACTGTCAGCACAGAGCTTGATGGTGGGCTCAAACTCACGAACCGTGAGATCATGACCTGAGCCAAAGTCAGACATTTAACCCAGGTACCCTGGTGGATACAGCTTTTGAGCACTTACTACATACTAAGGTTTACATATGCCATTTTAAGTTCCCACAACTCTGAAATGCACAGTGGAAGAAAACACAGAGCTTACGGAGGTGACATGACTTGTCTGGGGCTTTTAAGGTGTAGAAAATGGGGTCACAATTCAGAAGTGGTGCCCACTCTGCAGAGTCTGAAATTCTTCCGAGAATATAAAAATGTCACTCTGCACTGAATTAAAGCTAGGTATGACCCTCCTGTGATTCATTACCAGGACAGGATCGCATGCAAGCACATCCGAGCCCACTGGCTAGGGCAGCTGCACCTGGGACTGTATCATTCACACACACCTCCACTCCCCGGGCTCTGCATGTGTGGTTCCAGCTACCCAGTTGATGGCCACCATTGATGTGTGCCTAATGAGGATGTTATTTGGTGCGGGCTTTCAAAGGGTGTGGCTTAAAAATCTCCACTTTGGGCCCCAACACTACTCCAACCCACAGAAACATGGGATTTTAGAATAAGAAAGGATAGAGAGAGATCATATTGCCCAGCCCCCTATTTTACTGTAACACATTCATAAATGAGTGTCTCTAAGCCCTAAAGTGTGTTCAATTTGATACCAAGCAGAAGGAGGAAGATGGGTCTCTTCAGATGCCATTGAGCCTTGGCACTGGAGCAGACAACGGAGATTCCTGAACAAGAGCAGAAGCCAGTCAGCCAAGTAGAGAGCTTAGGTCCTCTGAGCAGACACCTGATTTCAGGAGAATCAGGTCCTATGGCAGCTCACAAATCAGCGACATAAATGCAGCAACATAGAATGTTCAGCAACCAGAGACAAATATATAATCAATTGCAGCTCTTGAGTTTGGAGGCCTGGCTGAAGTAAGACGAGTATCAGGAGGCCTACTCACAGTACTGGTTGTATTAATGTGCTGAGGGAAGAAAGAAGCATCTTGGCCTTGAGAAGGGGAACACGGACTTAAGCTCAAGTGGGTGCTGGGTGCTTACAGAAAGAGGAAAAGTAGAAGAAAACATGACAAACCTGATTATTATTTTTTTTTTTAATTTTTTTTTTCAACGTTTATTTATTTTTGGGACAGAGAGAGACAGAGCATGAACGGGGGAGGAGCAGAGAGAGAGGGAGACATAGAATCGGAAACAGGCTCCAGGCTCTGAGCCATCAGCCCAGAGCCCGACGCGGGGCTCGAACTCACGGACCGCGAGATCGTGACCTGGCTGAAGTCGGACGCTTAACCGACTGCGCCACCCAGGCGCCCCAAACCTGATTATTTAATTGATAATGCAAATTTATGAGTTATATGAACCATTTAGGAGGGATTTTTTTTTCCCCAGTAAGCTTTTCAGGTGGTAGCACATGAGCTGCTGTATAACCACATTTATTGATTTATTATTTAGTCATTCAACAGATTTCTTTGAGAACTTCACTGGGGCCAGACCCGGGAACATAAAAACTAAACACACAAACTAAACACTAAACACATAAAGATTTCTGCCCTCATGGAGCTCACATTCTAATGGTCAAACCCAAAAGTATGTAAATAGATTTCCAAATATATAGGCAATAGGGAAATATAAAGATACGGGAGATAGGGCAAGCTTTGGGGGCAACATTTGCACAATTCTGAATTATGCAAATTTATGTCTTCCCTGGAAAATGGAACCTTGTTTCAAAAAGTTCAAAGTTTATACTAGTAATATATATATATTTAATTTCTCAATTATGAGATAACACTTTGATTAATAAACTTAATGTCACAATAATAAACTTCCAGAGGTTTTCTGATATTAATGATCAGATGATACCACCACGCTTATTATTCTTTTGGCTCATTTCAGAGCTCAACTTTCTAAAATATTTTGTTTTGTATAATAAAGAAATAATATCAATATCTCTAGCACCCAGAGAACCTAAAATATTTGTTGGCAGATAGTAAGAAAAATGGCTTAGCAATATCAATATCAGAAAAATTAGTTTAAAACAAATATCATTATTAGGAATAAACAGTGTAATTAGATAATTGCAGAAGAAATGAATTACCAACAAAGTATAGAACTCCTGAACCCTAAAATATATGAAGCAAAAATTAACCAAATTATTTTTAAAAGCCAGCAAGTCCAAAATCATAGTGAAAGATATTAACATATATCCCCAAGAAACTCATAAATCAGAAAAAAAAGAAAATATGAGATTTGGCACAATACAAACATTTGATCTACTGGACATATGAATAACCCAGAGTCCAGCAATTTTCAAGTATAAAATGTACTGCCCAAAGGTCATAAAAAATAGTTACCAAAATATCGGTAATGTACAGAACATATTCTCTACAATAATAAAAAAAGATAACAAAAGATTCCTCAGATGTTGGAAATATTAAGACAACATTCTAAATAATTTATGAGTAACAGAAGAAATTAGAATAGAAACTCTTAAGACATTTAGATAAATCATTTATAAAAATCACATATAAAAGCTCACAAGATATAGATAAATCAATTAGAGAAATTTGTAACTTTAAGTGTATGTTCAAGAAAATTCAAAGGTTAATTAGTAATATGTCAGATGTCCAAATCAATAAATTATAATAAGATCAACAAAGTAAAATGGAAGAAAGTAAAAAAGATAAGGACAGAAATTAATGATATAGAAAACAAAGATATTATAAAAGATTCAAGAATGACAAAAGCTTATTCTTTAAAAAAAATTAAATTGACAAACCTCTCTCAAGGCTAAGCATGAACAAAAGTATGGAAAAGGAAAGTAAACAAGCTATGGTGAGTCAAACAGGATGGGTAATGTTACAGAGATAGAAAGTTAGATTTAGAACAGAGCTAAAAGCCCCAGGAAGACCAGGTATATATAAAGGAGAAGTAGCATGACAAATCAGTGGAGGGGGTGAGACCATCAATAAGAGGTGCTGGGGTCATTGTCTAGATATAAGAAATTAAACAGATTTCTACCTCACAGCATACTCAGAAATGAATTCCAGAAGGATGAAAGACCTAGCTGTGAAAAGCCATTTTCAGCCTTGTAGAATTTATTTTTGACCCTGGAGGAGTTGTGGATTTCTTGACTTTAACCATAAAGTGGAATTCATAAAAAGAGAAATTTACAGATTAGATTACATTAAAATAAAAAGTTTCTGAGACATAAGAGACTTGATAAGGCAAAAAAAAATTTTTTTAGAAAGCAAGCTAAGACTAAGAGAAAATATTTACAATTCACATAACTGACAGAAGATTAATATCCAGAATATATTAAGAATTTCTATAAAACCTCTAAAAGTAAATATCCAAATACAAAAATGAGCAAAGAATATGAACAGGCAATTCACATAGGAAGATACAAGAATCATCACCTCTATTTACTCATATAAAAAACATTTCATCTCATTGATATTAAAACTAAAGTGGACACATTTCCCACCCATCATGGCCAAATTAAAATATCTAACAATATCAAGTACTGGCAAGAATATTAGGACATTGGAACACTTGGAGATGGCTAGCAGCAAATTTCCTTGGTTGTTTCTCTTTGGACAGCAACTTCACAATATCTGGTAAACATAAAGATGTGTAAATTCCTAAACCCCAGCAATTCCTCTCCTAGAGATTTGCTATTAAGGAAATCTCGTAGGTATTCACCATGAGACTATAGACATGTACTTATTGCAGCATTTTTATACTACATAAACCTAAAGCAAATAACTTCTGATATATTTGTACAGTGGGATACTCTATGAGCAGTTAAACCAACTAGATCTGGTATCTAGTGGTATGCAAGACATAGTGTTCAATGAAGATAAAAACTAACTGCATTAAGAAGCCCATATTGAATACCATTTATATCACTTTTTAAAATTCAAAACAAATATGTTCTTATGTATTGATATATACACAAACAGCAAAAGTCTGAAAGCAGTGGGGAGGACACATCCTTAAAGGACAGTCTTCAGCTCTGTAGAAAGAAGGGAAGAATGGGAGTGGGGTGGGGGTTCAGTTTCTTAAACTATATTTCTGCCTTTATAAATTAGCGTATAAATAATGTATACATTTCTGCCTTTATAAATTAGTGTATAAATAATGTATAATTTGTATACATTATACATATACAAATAATTTCATGTATAAATACATGAAATGTCATGTAATATAGTTATATGCATTTTAATAAAGTACTCATATATATATATGGTAAAGAATATCTGATCTCACTCAGCCATTTGTCACAGCATTAATACTTAAAGATTCAAATTCTGTGATTTCATACTGCTTAAAAATAGTTTTGCAATTGAGGCACCTGGGTGGCCTAGTCAGTTGAGTGTCTGGTTCCTGATCTCGGCTCAGGTCATGATCTCACAATTTGTGAGATTAAGCCCCATGTTGGGCTCTGTGCTGACAACGTGGCACCTGCTTGGGATTGTCTCTCTCCCACTCCGTCTCTTCCCCTCCCTCACTCACCTTCTGTCTCTCTCAGAATAAATAAATAAAAAGTTTTGCGACAGTGTATAGCAGAATGATTTTTTTTAAAGACACAATCAGATTGACAAGCTACAATTTTACTGCAGCCTTCCCCACAAAATGAAGGGAAACTAACCACTATTAGAGTGGGTATCCCTTTTTGAAAATTTGATTGTGTAGGGAACCTTCTTTAGATGTTCCCAAACCTGAAATTTATACATGTTCGAAGATACCAGTTGAAGGCTGCTGGATCTTCTCTGAGGCTTGTGGCCACCCTTTTTGGGACCCCTCTAAAGACCGAATTTGAGAATTGTGACCACGTCTATCGAACCACCATGGTATTTGAAGAATATCTTTATCATATACTCCCAAATTAGTCCTGTTGGTATCACCACCGCCCCATTTGCAATGACCTTGGTGTGGAGTAGACGACATAAGGCCTTTTTCTGCTTTCCTTTGTTTATTAAGGGGACAGCTCTGCTGACTGTAGATCAGAGAAGATGGGAAGATCTGAAGAGCCGACTGAAGATAGCACAGCCTCTTCATCTCCCACCTCGCCCGGGTATCAAAGATGCTCTGATTTTATTCATGTTGGGCACCAGTGTTCGTGATTCCCCAGGAGTCTAAGATTTCAATTAAAATAATAATCGTGAGGCCACTAGGCGGTTGTGCATAAGTTAATATAGAAACAGGCTCCAAACTACAGATCTCTCCATAGGCTATTAAAATCAACCACCCAAAGGCTGTGCTTCAGTGCTCTCAGGATAAGCCCTAATGAAAAAATGAATTTTTAAATAAAATATATTTGTGCTTCGCTCTTAAACATATGAGTGAAATGTATTAAACTGACAGAAATTGAATGATGCGGTTCTCCTTCCAATACAGACGGCGTCATGCACCGTCGTCTTAAATATTCAGAACCAGCCATTCCTGCAAAACACTACACAATAGATTGAACTATAGGGGGAAAAAGGTAATGAGTTTTAAAATGAGCATTAAAGGAAATGAAAGACAAGAAAGTAAATGTGACCTATGTCTGAAATGCCCTTGCCTCAACCTTTCTTTTGCAGATAATGATGGTTTTAGAGCTAAGATGTATGACATTACCCAGCATCCATTCTTTAAGAGGACAATTGCATTGCTTGTCCTGGCCCAGTCAGTGCTGCTGTCCGTCAAGGTACTTTATTTCACAGTGAAGCTCTGAGAAGGACTTTTTCGTTCATTGGTGCATCCAAGAATATTGCAAGGGGCCATATCCATTCACAGTCTACGTTCTTTAGTATAAAAAATTAAAATTCATAGTCATGTTCAAATGAGAAAAGGAGGGGAAGGTCTTTATGTGTCTGATGGATATGGACAAAGACCTGGATGCTGTTTCTCTTACAGTGGGATGTGGAGGACCCAGTGACCGTTCCTTTGGCAACAATGTCAGTTGTTTTCACCTTCATCTTTGTTCTAGAGGTACGGTAATGAGCCAGCTGGCTCTGGGGGCTGTGGTGCACATTGTAAAGTAAAACAGTGCCCTCCTTTGATAGCACTGACTTTCAGCTCTGTGTTCCATTGCTTTTGAAGTCTTTTTTGGGGAGAGGGGTAGCGTGCTCTTAGGGTATTTTCCTTTTTAGGCCGTTGTGCTTAACTTGAACAAAGATTTCACTTTATATTTCAGATTTTTCTAACCACAGGAATTGCTAACTGCTGTTGATTGTTGTATCTGAATGTTGGCCTGTCTGGTTATGTGAGTTCAAATATTTGTAGCGAACTGCACAAACCACTGTAATTCAGGGACTCAAATTGCAATGTGGTGGCGAAGGGAATTGGCCCAGACAAGATTATTTTAATATATAGTCCACATAATATCACTTTCCAGCACAATCTTCTTTGAAATACAAGCAGATTCTTATTTCACCCTGTACTGGTTGATGTTTCCCAAAATCTATGGTCTTTTACTTGAGGAAGAAAAATGTCTTGCTCTCAGAACTAGTCATAAAACAAGGAGAAAAGAGCATGGAGATACATATTTGTAACCTATCCTACTTTAAAATTTAGATAGTGGATCAATCTATATCTATATCTCTGTCTATCTATCTGTCCTATCATCTATCATCTCTTAGTAATAAATTCTCTCTTTGGTTTCTACATCCTCTAAAAATGTGTGCCTCAATGGGGTGCCTGGGTGGCTTAGTCAGTTGAGCATCAGACTCTTGATTTCAGCTCAGGTCATGATCTCATGGTTCATGAGTTCAAGCCCCATGTCAGGCTTTGCGCTGACAGCTCTCCCCTCTCTCCCTCTCTCTCTCTCTCTCTGTCTGCCCCTCCCCTGTTCTCGTTCCCTCTCTCTTTCCCCCCTCTCTCTCTTTCTCTCTCTCAAAAATAAATAAACATTAAAGAAAATTTTACATTAATTTAAAATGATGTAAAATTATGTGCCTCAAGTTAACGCATTTCTATATATGTTGAACACTCAGCCTCTATTTACTGTCTACATTATTTTCCCCCAGGTTACAATGAAGATCATAGCAATGTCACCTGCCGGCTTCTGGCAAAGCAGAAGAAACCGATACGATCTGCTGGTGACATCGCTTGGCGTGGTCTGGGTGGTACTTCACTTTGCCCTCCTGGTATGCATGTAATAAAAGTTTATTTTAGCTAATAACTTCAGTTCAGGTAACCCTGTTTCCAGTCTCATTTCACTCTGTGTCAGCCTACCCTCAGGTGTCTGATTAACCTCCCTACATCCAGCTTTGACCGTGATAGGCCCTCAGACATGCTTGCATGTACATTCCCCTACACTCTTCACACAAACAAAATCTGGCCCCTCAGATTCCTAGAGTGTGCAAATCAGAAGGAGAAACTTGAAAATGTCTGGTTTAACTCTCATTTTCCCAAAGGATGAAAATAAGAGAGAGAGAGAAAAAAAAATGGAAACAGAGATTACGAGACCTGCCTAAATTCACATGCAAGCTGGTATCAGAAAACTCAAACCCAGTCTCTTGAATTGAAATGTAGCATCAATGCGACTACATTATAATCAGTATTTCACAGTGGGACTCTCAGGCACTTTAGAAAGCCTTATTTTCTATTAAACATCCAGCAGCCTTTTCTCTAAAGCATATCGTTCTTTGTGTTTATACCTGAGTTCTCGCTAGCTTGCCTAAAATGCCTTGAGCTTCTCCAACTTCCATTTAGTCTGAGGTCCAGCTCAAAACCTACACCCGTGGGTATGCCTGATTAAGATCTAGAGCCGTGTTGTCCAATAGGAATAAAATGTGACCACGGATGCAATTTCAAATTGCCTAGGAGCCACATTAAAAAAATTAAAAAGGAACAGATGTTGTGGTGCCTGGGTGGTTCAGTCAGTTGAGCGCCCAACCCTTGATTTTGGCTCAGGACATGATCTCAACAGTTCATGGGATGAAGCCCTGCATTGGGCTCTGTGCTGAGAGTGGGGAGCCTGCTTAGGATTCTCTCTCCCTCTCTATCTGCCCCTCCACCACTTGCATGGGCTCTCTCTCTCTCTCAAAATAAATAAATACTTTTTTTAAAGGAACAGATGGCATGAATTTAATAATGTATTTTAACCTACCATATCTAACGTACTATCATTTCAATATGTCAGCAATATAAAAATTATTAAGAAAACAGGTTACATCCTTTTTTTTTGGTACTAAATCTTTGATTGAATGTGTATTTTATATTTACAGCACATCCTAATCTAGACTCACTACATTTCAAGTGTTCGGTAACCACATGTGGCTGGTGGCTACCATACTGGACAGTGGAGTTCTAGAAGTCCCTACTCTGGGCTCCACCATTTTCCAGGCTTGATCAAGTTATTTGTCTTCAGTGATCCTTTGCTCCCTGCTCTGAACTTGGGGATATAACTTCATAATCTATCCATTCTACATGGGCATTATAAAGATAAAGCATGTGAAATTTTTCTCTTTTTTTTTAATGTTTATTTTTAAGAGAGAGAGACATAATGCAAGGGGGGAGGGTGGAGAGAGAAGGAGACACAGAACCTGAAGCAAGCTCCAAGCTCTGAGCTGTCAGCACAGAGCCCAATGCAGGGCTTGAACTCCCAAACCATGAGATCATGACCTGAGCCGAAGTCGGACACTTAACCAACTGAGCCACCCAGGCACCCGTAACATGTGAAATTTTTCTAACTGTAAAAAGTACAACACCCCAACACATTATCAATACCTTCTCTTTTTTGTTAGTCTTCCTCAACGCCAGCCAAAATTAATATTATCAGATTTTCCTGCTCTCTTCTATCTGTTCTTCCATCCTCCCCAGTGTTAGAGTCATGCCAGAAAAGTTCCATCAAACAGAGAACCCATTTGTACCTCACAAAGGGTGTGCTTTAGTATGAAATTTCTGTGCTCAGGCAGATAGGTATTGAGTGTCCTTCTTAAAACAACTGTCACTGTCAGCATCAGGGGCTGTGCCAAGCCTAGGTGGGCTCTCAGTCACCCTGATCCATTTCTTCGAATAATGAGTGGTTTTGAGCACCAAAGATGTGTAAGTCACCATGCTGGAGATTGAGAAGAATGCACAGATCAAAACAAAGGCAGCCATTGCTCTCATGGACATCACAGTCTGGAAAGTTTGTGTTTTGTTTCGTTTCAAAGTTTTACGCCAGAATGTTTCATCATGATCCAAGAGGCTGGGAGGGCAGGTGTGGTTTGGGACAAGTAGGCATTCATGGAACGTTCCCAAGTCAATGAGAGTTGCAGCCATAGTGAGGCAGATGGAGGAGAGACACGTATTCCTGCAATGACACAAACGAGTGGGAGGTGGCTGCGTCAGAGAGGTCCTGGAAAGTGTCCCTGCAGAAGTGACGATTGGGTTCAGCCTGTAGGATGAGGGTATGTTGGCGGCTGTCCCTGTGATGGAATGCTACGGGAGGGAAATAGTGTGCCTGGAGTAGAAGGAGCAAGGGGCACATGGCACAAGGTCTGGACGGGACCTCTCAGGACCAGGTGAAGGATGGGGGTGCTGTCACTTCCAGAATGCAAAGTGAGAAAGCCTCTATAGCAAATCTGGAACTAACATAGAAAGGGGAAGCAAGGTCCATGTTTTTAGCTTTCCCTAGACAAATATAGCCAAAAACTGGTCCAAAAGAAGAGTAGGGCAGGCTTCCTAATCCTAGATGTCCCAGAGAGGACATCTCACACGGGAAAGACTAACTTGCCTATTCTGCCCGACTGCTTTTGTTCTTTCCCAAGAAGCTTCCGTCCTGGAAATATACTCATCCTCCACTCTACTTTGCACTCTCTGTGGCCGATTGTGAAGGGAGATGCAGTATTTGTTCCCATCTAAGCTATTTCTATGCAGACACATACATTTCCTTGTACCTCAAGGATATTCAGCGGACCCCCTTCCCGGGGGCCCATATGTGACAGTTGTCATTTGGCGAGGCGAGACTCCTTGAGAAAAGTCATGCTTTGGCATCAGTTTAATGCCACAGTTGTTATTGCAGCTCTAGCTGGTGGGATCTTTGTCTCCGAGATGAAGCTTTCTTAGTCATAAAGTGCACCCAGTCATCTCTTGCTGCCCATTGCACACTTGAAGAATGAGCTGGATGTGTTTCTGGGCTGGACAGACATTGTCTGCAATCAGCTTACACGATGTGGCCGGCTGGTCTCCAAAGTCTCCGGAGACCTTCTGAGAGGAGGAAGCTGACCTCCTGCAATCTTTTCCAACTCTAGACCTTCTTTGCCAGGGTTCCTGCATTTTTGGTCTCACTTGACATCCTCATGTTGCACTGTTACCCTGAGTTTTTCTTGCTCCTCAAAGGAGCTGGTCACTATTTTATGTAAAACTTATTTTAGTTTTAAAATACAGAATTCAGCTGAGCAAAACAGAGACCGAAGTTTCATTTAAGATTTGATTTTATAGCTAATATTTATTCATGAGTTTTGGCAGTGACCTTTTCAGCACCTTTTAAAGATAAATTTCTTATAAGAATTTTCACATTTTATTAAACTAATTACTCAGTAGACTTCACAGAAGACTTAAAATGAAAACTGGAATTGTAACAAGATCTCCTGTGCACATGGCGAGTGGCTGTCTTCTGTTTAAATTTCAGAACGCGTATACCTACATGATGGGCGCCTGCGTGATTGTCTTCCGGTTTTTCTCTATCTGTGGAAAGCATGTGAGTACGTTGTAAAGGATACTATCAACGGTTGCATATGCACAGAAGAAAGGAGCGATGCCTGATTGACTTCAGCTGTCCATCTGGGTCTTCAGGGCGGAAGTTAACAAATTGGTAGTCATCCTAAGTCCAAATGAGCAAATATTAAATATTAAAATGAATCGGCAGCTTAGTTATCTTGTGATACATCTCCTGACATTTCTGTTCTTTTATCTCTTCTTCATATTGGCTAAATTAACTCAGTCATCAACTAAAGACAACATCTCAGGCATGAAAGCGAAAACCAATGCTCTGTCTTAATATTTCTTTATTTTTATTGTTTCTATCTGAATAAGCTTACTTTACTGGAAAGAAAAATCATCTTTAGTGAAGATTCGTGATTCTATGACCCCAGATTTCTTTATATTCTTTGTTATTGCATATATTGCATACATGTGGAATATATTGCATATATTCCACATATATTTTTCATTTTTTAATGTAATTTCCTTTTTCGCTACTGACACTATTTCATATACGTTCCATATATTCACGTATTCAATACGTGCTATTTGATGGTATTTAGTATTTTGCCATTGGTTAGGTTTGTTTTTGTGAACATCTGTTTGTGGGAGAATCCTGAGCCTACTTGGTGGAATAGGCCAAAAATACATAGCCCTTATCATAGAGACTCAGGGAGCAAGAGAAGAGAAAATAGAAGCAAGGAATTTTAGGGAGAGGCTTTTATTAATTTGGCTGAAAAGGCTGAACAGTTGGAAATACAAGTTGAATTTCTCTCTAATGTTTTTTGAATAATATTTAGATTAATACCCTTTATTAAGAACTAATTCAAAGCAATTTTAGAATGAGGGTCACTCTCGTGCCACCTGCTTACCTGTTACTTACTTCCCAGGCTCCCCATGGCTAAGTGAATTAAATATTCATTTCTGTCTCCCCACATCTCCATATAGGTAACACTAAAGATGCTTCTCCTGACGGTGGTCGTCAGCATGTACAAAAGCTTCTTTATCATAGTGGGAATGTTTCTACTGCTATTGTGTTATGCTTTTGCTGGAGTTGTTTTATTTGGTACTGTGAAGTATGGAGAGAACATTAACAGGTTGGTGTGGATTTCTCTCCCTATTCATTTATCAAGCAAACTTTTATAGTCATGAAATCAGGAATAAAAACCTGAATGACTTTTGTCTATCAAAGACAGGAGGAAGGGGAAACAATGAGTTGGAAACTAAAACAAAATGTCCAAATTTCAAATGACATTTTTCTAATTAAAAACAGTCTACACATTTACTTTAGAAACCTTGTCTCCGTAATGTTACCAAAATGTAACGGGAACCCATAATTCCAAATCTACCACTACACAGGAATAACCACTTGTAATTTCCCGGTGAATTTCTATCCACCTACTGCCAAAAAACAACATATTATTTTTTTTTTTTAATTACACTTTGGGGGCGCCTGGGTGGCGCAGTTGGTTAAGCGTCTGACTTCAGCCAGGTCACGATCTCGCGGTCCGGGAGTTTGAGCCCCGCGTCAGGCTCTGGGCTGATGGCTCAGAGCCTGGAGCCTGTTTCCGATTCTGTGTCTCCCTCTCTCTCTGCCCCTCCCCCGTTCATGCTCTGTCTCTCTCTGTCCCAAAAATAAATAAACGTTGAAAAAAAAATTAAAAAAATAATAATAATAATAAATTACACTTTGAACTGATTTGGGGTTTTCTTTTTTTTTTTTTTTAACAAAGCAAAACATGGGAAACTATACTCCCAAAATGGTTACTAGATACGAAAAGCATTTTTCAGAGATTATCTTTAATTTTGGGAAGCACTTCATAGTTTTTTAAAAAGGAATTATACAACACATTATATACAGATGTGTCTTGTTGCAGAGATTGCTTATTTGATACATGGCAGCTCTACTTTTTATAGCAAAATCCATGTGAAAGAAGGAATCACTTTTACTTGTCAAAATTGGGACCCTTAGCCACTCAAGATGCATGGCCACAAAATGGTGGCACCATGCTAGGGTTGGGTTAGACGGCTATGCTTGAGGGCAAGTGTGAATAACAAATTAAGAAGATATAACCTTCAGACATGGTGACTTAACAACCGCATCTGCTCCAAAATCTACCTGCGTTAGTGCTAACACCTTACTACTTCATGACCAACTATATTACCCACATTCTGGTTTTTCCTCCTTCATTAGGCATGCAAACTTTTCCTCAGCTGGCAAAGCCATCACCGTACTGTTCCGAATCGTCACAGGCGAAGACTGGAATAAGATTATGCATGACTGTATGGTAAACTTCTCTTCATCACTAACAGTACATCAACTTAGAACCAAATGAAACTCTTTGCAGTGCAGTATATCACCAGCCTTATCCTCGTTAGCATCAAGACTTTGTGTACAAAACACCTATCCTGGCTATTTAGTCCATAAAGTTGCATCCTTTTACATTGCAGTATATGGCCATGTGCAGGAAGAATATCCAGTGAACCCAGCTTGAGCTATTGTGGTTCCATCTGGCAGATTCGCATTCTGTTGGCATTGTTCTTTCCCTCCCACCTTTAACACTTTAGCAGTCAAGTACAAACAGGGGAGTTCCTCTTCTTTAATTGAATTTATTCAACAGATATTCACTGAGTGCCTGGTTTATACTGGGCCATATGCTAGGAGCTCGGTGTTCCCTGATTCCAAGGCATGCTCAAGGTGCTTACGGCAAGGCCCTGAGCTACACCCTCCCTTTGGGTCCTCCCTTTTCCTCCTTGTGTTCACATCTCCCTTAAAGCATCGGCTCCATCAGGAATCCTGCCCCACACTAAGACTGCAGTGACATGTTCCTACAGCACTCTGTGGTAGCTGTGTTTCTCCTGTGTTTCTGTGTTTCTCCTTTGTAGCATGCATCACAGCTATAGTGAGTTACTGGCTTGATTATTCCATCTCTATTTCCTCTTTCTCAACCTCCAGAACAACACTGTCCAAAAGAAATTTCTGCCACGATGGCAATCTGCTCTGTCTAATGCAGTAGCCATATGTGGTTACTGAGCCCTTGAAATGGGACTAGTGCTCCTGAGCAACTGAATTTTAAATTTCATCAAACTGTATTTGATGTTCATTAACATACATTTACATTTTAATAGCCACATGCAGTCCGTGGCTCCCATGTATAGCTTTAGACCGTCAGCAACATGAAGGAGGGACAGACTCTATGTCTTGCTTACCTGTCTGTCTCCAACATTGGGTATAAATCCAGCACATAGTAGGAGCTAAAGAACTCTATGCATGAATGAATGGGGACAGAATTTACCAAATCAAATATAATATGAAGCAGAATTAAATAGATTCTAAATATACAACAAGCAGAGTGCTACAACTGCTTCTTCTGCAGAAGAAAGAGCTAGTCTGTCTGGCTGAAAGAAGTCAGGTTTCTCTGAGGTGCCGGCATTTTATTGGGCCACTAAAGACGGGGTGGGGGGACTTTTGATAACCTGAGTCTAGTGCTCTTCTGTAAAGTCCCATAATGGTGCCCCAAGAATGAAGATTACTGGTTTCTTCTTACACAATTTGAATGTGAATTTGCTATGTATAACAAATCTTCATAAAGCTTAACCCATTAGTTAGGTCAAAGAAATTTTTTAAATGCTTTTTTTGACTTTCTGCAGCTCCCATCACAAGAACTACCATTCAGGACTAGTGCAGGTGGCAGAAAGAATGTCTCTTGGAAGAAAGGAGTTCATTTTCATTGTGCTTCTAAAATGGCACTGAACTTGAGATTCCCTGAGACTAGAAGTGTAGAATAAAGGAAAGATTCTTTTTGATTTTTGCCACGGATGATGTACTCAATGTACGTGGCTTTTGGGAGATTAACTTTGAAGTTAATTATGTTTTACATGGTGAGGGATAGTTCACAAACTATAGCATGTGCACAAATTCGTATTCTTCACTCTGACCCCTCCTCCCTCTCCCCCATCGCCCGCAGGTCCAGCCTCCCTTTTGTACTCCAGATGAATTCACATACTGGGCAACAGACTGCGGAAATTACGCTGGGGCACTTATGTATTTCTGTTCATTTTATGTCATCATTGCCTACATCATGCTAAATCTGCTTGTAGGTAAGTGATGTTCACTGAATATGTTTTAATATCTTTAAACCCAGGTACTTAGATAATTACGTACAATTTTCAAGTAATTATCCCAGATTGCTTGGGGCGGGTATTTCATGGCATTAATTATAAATTGTTGCCTCTCGATCCAGAAGCTGAAAAGACCTTTGAAAGGCATGTAAATGACAGTTGATTGCAATTTCAAGAGTTGTCCTATTAATTATGATCATTAATTTCAAAAGAGCTCTTCTCATGGATTGAGTTGAAGAAATCTCAGAGAGGGCTACCTTTATGGCCTTGAAACATCACAGTTATGTTTCTGAAAGATACATGGTGTTCACCCAGGTGTGGGGCCACCCAGAACCCAATCTGACCTTTAAATACTGCCCTGGAACTGTCAACTAAGAGTGAAAGCCAGCTGGCATGGGTATCTCCACACACAGAATGTGTGTTTATGCTCATGACCCTCATGTTTTGGAAAGGCAGGAGCTGGATAAATAGCTTAATCCAAGTGTAAGTAAGATATGCCAACTTGGAAAACACACTAAAAAACACTGTAAAAATTTGGCTTGTGATGTAGGTGATAAAATCCATTATTTATAATAGATGTTTTACTTTTTCTAAAAAATGCCAGATTAGCATAATTATCTAACTTCTCCATTTTTCTTTTTTCTTTTCTTAGCCATCATTGTGGAGAACTTCTCCTTGTTTTATTCCACGGAGGAGGACCAGCTTCTAAGTTACAACGATCTTCGCCACTTTCAAATCATATGGAATATGGTGGATGATAAACGAGAGGTAGGAAAGGGGGCCATTGCTTCATGCCCACCCCCAAAGAGATTCCCTGCCCTGCCACAGACATTTAAGTAGTCTTGCTGTCACCAGTAGACATCTATTGAATTTGGAATGGCCATTGTGAATTGTAGAAAGCCATCATTGACCGTTCAGCAAAATATGCTAGGAAGGGAGAGGGACAGAATGGTCCCCTGTCCAACCGTGGATGCCCTCTTCTTGGACATTCAGAAAGTCATCAAGGAGAGGAAACCAAGGAAGCTCTGAGGAAACCAGCCCTAGGATGAGAGCAGCAGAAGTAGTGAAGTTCAAATCACCACAGCGATGGTGTAATACAGAGCCACAAACAGCCACACACAGCAATCCTGATTAGAAGTGCAAAGGAACTACTTCGTGGTTTCCGAAGGTTATTTTTTGAATTATTTTGGACTTATTCTTTGAATGCTTTAACCATAAAGCTTACCCAAGATTTCCTGGAATTAGCCAAAGCAACAATATCTCATTCTCTAGCTGCTGCTGCTGCTCTTTCTTTTCCCCTTTCTTCATCCCTAGCAAATACTCAGGCCTAGTTCTGGGTGCTGGGGATACAGCAGTGAACGCAACGGAAAGTCACCCATGCTTACAGAGCTTCTATTCTAATATTGGGAGACAAACAATATAACGTGAAATAATAATAATTATTATTATCTCAAGAAGCTATAAGCACTTTGCAGATGGTAATATGGTAGACACCAGTCGGACTGGAGGGCAGGCTACTTTAGCGGGGTGGCCATGACGGTCTGGCTGGGGAGGTGTTGTTAAACCCGACATCCGAAAAACAAGGGAAGTTCTACCATGGGAGAATCTACCACGGGTAGGTTCAAAAAGAGTTGCAGGAAGAGTTCACAGAGGGCGTGAAGACCAAAGAGGCAGAACAAGCTAAGGAAGGGGGCATCCTGAGCTAGGCCTGCACAGTAATGCCTGGCTTTCCTCACCGCCTTTGTCCCCCTCTCCCCAACACCCCCCACTTCCGCAGTCACCAGTCTCAGGGGGGCTTTCTCTGAGACAGTGACCTGCACGTGTGGCCATCTGGCCTAGCTCTCCTATCTCCCCTTGATCCACCTGCCTCTCCAAGACCACTGCCTGTGGGAACCTGCTTTCCTTGGATGCACACATCAAAGATGGCACCATGAGTCACACGTTAAGGTGTTTCTGACAGCAATTCATGGTTACCCATGTCCCTGCCTTTAGCCCAATGCCTTAATTCAAAGACAGAGCCAGGCTGGCACGGTAGATTGTGTTGCCCGAAAGGGAGCGACACGTGTTTGATATTCCAGAATCTGGAGCTGCTCTGACCAGATTCTCTTGTATGTAATTGTGCTAATAATTGGGAAGACCTGAAAAGGAGTGATCATTCCCTAGAAGAGCCATTTATAAAAAGTGTTAGGAAGTTTGTAGCATCCAGGCTAAGTGAAGAGGAGGATCATGTACATGTGAATGTTGTACTTTCTGCGATAATGCATTAGCAACCCACTCAGCGTGTTTTAGAGAAATAGATGAGCAGAGGCTGCGTCAGTGAAACAGAGCAGGAGAGGAAAACCCTAGTAAAGCAAGGGCTGGGGCCAGGGAGGCAGAGAGCCTCCTAGGCTCCCAATGCTGCCAGGTTACAAGATCCCACAGAACCAGAGAAGCACAGCGGAAAATCTAAGTGCTCGGCTTTCAATGTGGTGCTTCTCTAGTAAACACCCTCCTGACCCAGCCTCCAGGGAGTCAAACAACTTCCTTACTTCCCAGTGCTAATTATGCTATCTTTTAAGAAAAAGATCTGGTGTCGTTTTTCTTTTTTGTGATTTTTTTTTTCTGTGAAAACAGAACCCCAAGTGAATCATTATGGCCTAAAGATGATTTACTAGTTATTGTGCTCTGCCCCCCAGGGGGTGATTCCGACTTTCCGTGTGAAGTTCCTGCTGAGGCTCCTGCGGGGGAGGCTGGAGGTGGATCTCGACAAAGACAAACTTCTGTTTAAGCACATGTGCTATGAAATGGAGAGACTGCATAATGGCGGGGACGTCACTTTCCATGATGTCCTAAGGTACGAGGAAGTTTATACAACCCTGGGTCACAGAGCTGGAGTGAGTGCAGAAACCAAAGCGGTGACCTTGTGAAATACAACCAACAAGTGGGCTCACAGCCCAAGATGCCACACTCATTGAGATTATAAGGTGAGGCCACACTGCTCAAGCTCCACATGGCCTTTGTCGCTGTCCTGTAAGGGCCGTGTCTGAGTGCCGCACACAGGAGGGGGTAGATGCAGTGGCCTGACATCCCCAGAGGTGCCCCATATGACTGAGGAGATCCTGATGGGAGAGGTGAGGGGCTTTGGGGAGCACAGCTTCCCCTCGTTCTGTGAGGGAGGAGCTGGTCTGGGGGAGTTTAGTGACTAGGTGGTCCAGCTGGAGTCCAATCCAGATCTTCTCATTTGCTCCATGATTCCGCCCCCAGCTGGCTGGCAAACCACACGTTCCAGACATTCACTGAGACCCCACATAGGACAAGGAGGACGAAATTCCATAAACTGGGTGGTTGAAACAAGTGTATTGTCTCACAGTCCTAGAGGCTAGAAGCTTAAATTCAAGGGGTCGGCAAGGCTGGTTCCTTCTGAGGCTGTGAGAGGGACTCTTCCAGCCTCTTGCCAGCTCCTAGGGGTTGGCCGCCTTCCTTGTAGAAACATCACCCCGATCTCTGCCCTCACCTTCACGTGTCGTTCTTCCCGCATGTGTGCGTGCATGTGCGCGTGCATGTGCGTGTGTGCTTACACATGTGTGTCCAAATCTTCCCTTTTATAAGGACACCATTCGTATTGGATTAGGGACCCACCCCAGTCCAGTATTATCTCTTCTTAATTAATCACATCTGTAGTAACCTATTTCAAAATAAGATCACATTTTGAGGTACTAGGGGTCATCACTCCAACAAAGATTTTTTTAGGGGGAAAACAATTCAATCCATAACAGCTCTTTAAACAGGAATCTATAGGGGCACCTTGGTGGCTCAGTCAATTAAGCCTCCAACTTCGGCGCAGGTCATGATTTCACAGTTCGTGAGTTCGAGCCCCATGTCAGGCTCTGTGCTGACAGCTCAGAGCCTGGAGCTGGCTTCAGATTCTGTGTCTCCCTTCTCTCTGTGCCCCCCCCCCACTTGTGCTCCGTCTCTCTCTGTCTCTGTTTCTCAAAAAATGAACACACGTTAAAAAAAAAATTAAACAGGAATCCATGGATCAAATCCAGAGGTCAATGGGCTTGGAAACAATCACATCTCTATTGTCATTAATCACTCACTGAAATGCAGCATTTTCTTCAGTGATGAATGCAGGCAGCAAGCCCCACAGTGTTAATAATAACCTGCATCTCTGCCACCAGCAGAAATCATAGATACTTTCAGATGGCATTGCTGACGTGGCTGATAATCTTCAATATCCTCTATACCCACCACTGCTTCTAAATTACAGTAGTCCTTTGACCTCAGCTAGATGTTATTATTTAATGCATTAATAAAGAAGCACTTATGTTACTCTATCACCATCTTTTTAAAAATTTCTAAAATTAATTTCATTTCTTTTTTTCATTAAAATAGAGTTGACATATAATGTTATATTAGTTTCAGGTGTACAACATAGTCATTCCACAACTGTGTATGTTATGCTGTGCTCACCACGAGAGTAGACACCATCAGTCGCCCTACAACACTATTACAGCGTCATTGACTATATTCTTTATGCTGCACTTTTCATCCTCGTGACTTATTCATTACAAAACTGGAAGCCCGTACCCTCCCTCTCCCTTTCACCCTCTTCCCCTCCACCCTTCTGGCAACCAGCAGTTTGTTTTCTGTATTTATGGGTCTGTTTCTGCTTTGTTTGTTTTATTTTTTAGATTCCACATGTAATTGAAATCATATGGTATTTTTCTTTCTCAGTCTGACTTATTTCACTTAGCATGATACCCCCTAGCTCCATCCATGTTGTCGCAAATGGCAAGATCTCATTCTTTTTTATGGCTGAGAAATATTCCATTGCATATAGACTGTATCTTCTTTATCCGTTCTATCATCACCTTTTTACAGAAAATAATATGAGCACTGTATTTGAATATAATTGCTTTCCTTGGTAATAAGAGATATTTTATTTTATGCATTTAAAATGTTATTCTATGAAAAGTCCCATGGGCCCCACCCTCAAAGAGGTCTGTCCACAGGAAAAGTCATGGCCCTCTTCTAGAAGTGGCTATTTTAATCATGTGGCAAATATTTGGTGAAGGGCTGGGTATGGTGTCACACATTCAGAAGCACTCAGGTATACAGAAATATGCTTGGGACTGAAATTCGAAAATAAGAACAGGAAGGACCCGGGAGAAGTTCTCTCAAGTTTCCCAGTTTACTTCCCGCTATTCCCTTCTTCCAGGCGCATGCCAAAGGGCAGAAAAAGAAGAGGCAGAAAATACATATGATTAGCAGAGGACGCCATCTCAGAATGTCACCAAGTATTTCCTCCTGGTGACAAATATTTTTAGGTCGAAGGGAGACACGTAGACACCCGCTGTCATTAGCAGTTCTCATTCGGCCTCTCTGGAACACAGGGAGGCATCCGATAAGATGGACCCCAGCAAAGCCAATGGGGGCCTGGATTGCCCCTCCCTATCCCTGCAGCTCAGGAAGTGATGAAAACAGTTTGGCACTGATGAGATTCTGGAGGAGGCAGGGAAGAGAGGAAGAGCAGACACATTTCCCTCCTCCAAGGAGGGAAGAGCGCTAGCAAAGAAGAGAAGGTCGGGGTGCCAGTGCTGCATGGGGAGGACTCCCGAGCACCTCCGTGGTGTGATGTGGGCAGTGGAGGCAGCACTGAGTCCACGGGAGGGGCAGGCAGGGGCTGAGGGCCAACCAGGGGTCCTGTGGCAGCACTGGCAAGCACCAGGGGCAGAAGGGGCTGTGTTCTTCTTTGGCTGTAGACCCCTCAGCCAGGATGCAGTGTGAGTTGTTGCCTTACTGCCCAGGGGCCCTGAGGCGACACATTGGTTGTGTTGGCTTCATTTGCCCCCACCTGAACCTGTTGCGCCTAGGGCAGAATGGGAGTGAGTATTCCACCCTGACCTTTCACCCACCAGAATTAATGAGGAAGATCCAGGGGCACAAATGGGATCGATGGAGAGGGAAATGGCAGGGGCGGGGGGCAGGAAGCCTGACCTTAGCCAACCCTTACTGACCATCCCCACCTGGAACTGAAGGTGAAGGAAGTATACAGACAGTCTTCCTTCTACAGGGAACATTCCAGAGCCTTAAGCAGCTGGTAATGCAGATCAGGGACCAGCCTAGACCTTCGGTTTTACAAACGCTTATATGGCACTTACTACTGTAAGCACCTCCCAAGTATTAACTCAGTCATTTAATAAGGTGGGGACCATGACTGTCCCCATCTTACAGAGGAGGTGACGTAACTAGTCCAGTGGCACAGGAACAGTACCTTGGTTGGACTGAGTGGTGTTCTCTCTGAAAGTTGAGATCTCCACCAGAGTCCCAAATGAGTCCGACCTGGAATGCTCTTGTGTGTCCTCCCCACCCCACCCCCAGCATGCTGTCCTACAGGTCGGTTGACATCCGGAAGAGCTTGCAGCTGGAGGAGCTGCTGGCCAGGGAGCAGCTGGAGTACACCATCGAGGAGGAGGTAGCCAAGCAGACCATCCGCATGTGGCTGAAAAAGTGTTTAAAGCGCATCAGAGCTGTGAGTCAACTGGCAGCATCCGGGTTTTTCTTTCCTCCTGTCAAAGGAGAAGGAGGAGGAGGGACAAAAGAGCTTCAGGAACAGTAGAATGAGATGCTCTGTGATTAGCCTCGTAGCCCCTTAACTGTGTCAGCTTCATCCCCTCGTGATGGCCACCTGGTTCGCACCTGAGCTCTCATCCAGACCCAGCTGCGCCCTCGTTAGCAGAGTCCATAAGGCGTTGCCATGGAATCACATTTTTATAACAGAACATTGATGTTTAAAAAGCAGTTTACTGAACAAATATTTGTTAAAATATTTGTGATCTCCATTTATCAAACTCAACTGTTCAAAATGCCCAAATCTCTATATGATGACTGGCAACCGAGTTTACAAAAGTACTTTTAAATCGCTCCTAAAAATTCCACCATTCCATTGATAATGTTGTTTGGTCTTTAACAAAGGCCACGTCTCCTGGGAGTTTAATGATCTGTCTGTTGCCTTTAGACTTATAAGCTTCTAGGATTCTCTGACTCATAAATCAATGAACATATACTGTGTTGGCATACACTGTGTTTACACTAGGCATTTCTACTAGATAATTATTTTTATGATTATGCTTTTGACTTACACTTCACACACAGATGAAAGAATCACACTAATTACTAAACATTTATATATAATACACTTTTTAAATCCTGTTTCTCAGAACAACATCAACAGCAGAAACATATCTATTGGAGGAGAAAATGTCCCCAGGGAAACAAAACACTCCAACCTCCCATAACAAGACAATAGTTATATCATAGCCCTGTTCACTTTGGGGACCCAACCTTCCCCCCCGCCCACACACAGACCCCAAGAAGGCACAGGGAGCTGGCTCAGCACCAGACCATGTTCCCAAGTGTGTGTCAAGACAGACAGGCCTGCTTCTATCCAGAATAAGACAAGAGCAAGGGTTTCACTCATCCATCCAAAGCTCTCTGCCTCTAACAACACTGAAAGAAAGGGCGATCCATATTGGCTGAATGAGCACAGAGCAAAATAAGAAGGGAAATTATAGAACACCCAAGTTAGTGATTTAAAAATTCTGTTTTAAATACAACAGGAGCTAGCATCAATGAACATATTTATTCCCATTTGTTATGCAAATAAGCGTGGGTTGGGAGGTCTCTAAGCCTGCCTTTATAGCAGTCTGATACTTAACTAGGGGAAGTAGTTAAACATCCTCATTTGGAAGTTCCTAAGAGGTCACTGAGCATACAGGTTCTTTGGAGAGGAGAGAAGGAAATACAATTTGAGTGCTGGGGGACAGGGGGATGTTGGGTTGATTTCTCTGTTACCGAGAGAATGATCATATTTCCATAGAAACAGCAGCAGTCATGCAGCATCATCCACAGTCTGAGGGAGAGCCAACAGCAGGAGCTGAGCCGGTTCCTCAATCCCCCCAGTATCGAGACCACCCAGCCCAGTGAGGACATGAATGCTAACAGTCAGGATAATAATATGCAACCTGAGGTATGTGTATGAGGCATCCTTCCTCCAAGGATATCACGTGCATTTTTTATTTTTTATTTTTCATTTATTTATTTTTTTTAGTGTTTATTTATTTTTGAGACAGAGAGCGTGAGTGGGGGAGGGGCAGAGAGAGAGGGAGACACAGAATCTGAAGCAGACTCCAGGCTCTGAGCTGTCAGCACAGAGCCCCACGCGGGGCTCAAACTCACGAACCACAAGATCATGACCTGAGTGGAGTGGTCGGATGCTTAACCTACTGAGCCACCCAGGCGCCCCACGTGCATTTTTAAAATAAAAAATAAAACAGTGCTGTTCACATAGCCATTTCAAACAAGTGACAGTATTTCTTTTTTTCCAAGTGTTTATTTATTTATTTTAAGAGAGAGAGGGAAAGTGCAAGCAGGAAAGGGGTAGAAAGAGAAGAGGAGACAGAGAATCCCAAGCAGGCTCCATGCTGTCAGCACAGAGCCTGACAGGGAACTTGAACTTATGAACCGTGAGATCATGACCTGAGCCACAATCGAGAGTCAGATGCTTAACCGACTGAGCCTCCCAGGCACCCCAAGGTGACAGTAGCTCTAATTGGAAGTTTTTAAGTAAAAAAAAAAAAAAAAAAAGGAACATATTGATCTAGATTATCTTTGGACCTTTACAACTTGGAATGCTTTGGGGTTATTTCAAAAGATTCTGATTCTGAGTTGTATGAGTGCTAAAAAAAAAAGTTAATGCTCTGAACGCATTAATTCTATTGATTTTTGTCTAAAGAGTTCATATCGCATCTCTACAGGTTTAACGGAGTCCAGTGATATTACTTGACTTAGGAGAACATGGTTTGCCCGAAGCTCTGCCCTAAATGCTTTCTTCTACCAGGTCACAGGAACTTGCAGTAGAATCAGTGAAAATGTTTGTAATTGACCACCACCTTCCTTAAACAGTCAGACTCATTGAGGCTTTGTCCTCCCTTAGTTGGGCATTGGAAGAGCATATGGAATTCAGGAGGACCTTCTTCACTAGGGCAAAGCTTATTTCCATTTCCAGACTCAATGTACGTGTCCATAAAAAAGCCTGGCATGGACACCCTGGAGAACCTTGCTCTGTGACCAGCAGCTGGCGGGGGGCCTCCCCATTAGGAGGGTGCAGTTGTGGACGAGCTGGAGTCGATCCAGCACTCTGAGATGAGCCCCTGGCACAGTAAGGCTTTGTGATGTGTAGCGGCCTAGTCAGGGGCTGGCAGTAAATACCGAAGCCTGTGGCTCCATGGCCCAGCGAGATGCTTCAAGGGAATTCCTTGTTCCACAGCCCAGTTTGGGGTGGGTTTCATGTTGTCGGCTCCCCAACATGTGGGAATCAACTGCCACCGACAACAGGGACTTGTGCAGGGACAGTCAGCAAAGGGCAGAGACATAGAGGCTTCATGTGTGGGGCCAAGGTAAGATCAGAACAGCCAGCCAGGCAGGGCTGATGAGGCTGGCAAAGTGATGATTGCAGAGCTGTCTACTTTCAGGTAAAAAAACAAAACCAAAAACAAAACAACAGCAACAACAAAAAATCCATGAGGTAACCAAAAAACCAAGAGGGGATACTGAAGAGATGTGAGGTCCGAGGCACTGATAGGAAAGGGGGGGGCACCAGAGACTGAGTAAAATGTGTGGAGAGTCTCAGCTCTTCTCTGACATTAGTCTTGGCTGGTATAAGCTTCATTCTCCTCTGGGGCTGTTGGAGAGTGTTGTCTGCTGAGCTCTCTTTCTGGAGCGCTAGGACTGACCTATAGGTTGGCAAGAATATACTTTCAGGAAACCGGGCAGTCCTTGCTGCCCCCCGCTTCCTTCCTGGTCCACAGCTACACCCCAGGTGCAGAGGGGAGGTAGCCGTGGGAGTGGAGGAGTCCTGGAGGGATACCTGGAGGAGGTGCTACCTGGAGAATTGTGCCCCCTCCCTTCACCGCGTGCAGGGGTGGCTCTCACTTTCCTGGACTCTCTGAACCATTTTCTCTTTTCCTTTCCCCATTGTGGACTCTGGGGCTCCAGTACTGTTTTTCCTATTGTGTTTTCTTTCTTTCTTTCTTAAAATAAAATAAGGGTCCATGGTGGGAGGGAGGGGAGGGCGGGTGATGGGTATTGAGGAGGGCACCTGTTGGGATGAGCACTGGGTGTTGTATGGAAACCAATTTGACAATACATTTCATATTTAAAAAAATGAATAAACTCTAAACTCTAAAAAATAAATAAATAAAAAATAGAACAAAATAAGGGTCCAGACTGGTGCAGAGGACAGGAGGGGAGCACAGCGTTAACAAAGAGCCAGTAACTGCTTTATTCTCCCCATGCAGACCAGCAGCCAGCAGCAGCTTCTGAGCCCCACGCTGTCGGACAGAGGGGGCAGTCGGCAGGACTCCACAGACCCCGGAAAACCCCAAAGGAAGTTCGGGCAGTGGCGGCTGCCCTCAGGTGTGTGCCCCGAGTCCTTTCTCCATTGATTCAGGTCCTAGAGGTGTCTACACCCCGTGGGCTTTGGGTCTCAGATTTCAAATTCAAGTTTACCCCTAAAGTGATTTACAGACTCCCTTCGCTATTGCTGACACTATCTGCCCTTTTCCTTTGTAGTTTTTCTTTCTTTGTATATACTAACAAACACCTACTCACCCATATTCCTATGACACTTATATTTGCCCAGACTGGAATGTTTTATTTTATTGTGTCTTATCTTATTTAGTTTTTGTGGTTATCTCAAAGTGCAACTGGCAAGTAGCAGTTTTTCAAATGGTATCACTAGTTGTCCCTGAACAGAATTTTAAAGTCCATGATGAATATAAAGAACCGAGAGCTGGAAGGATTTCATACTTAACATCTATGGATAGGACGTGTTTATGGGGACTTGTTTACTTGTTACTGCTGGGACTATCACAGCTTTTCAGAAATGGCTTGCAAAGGGGTGAACAGCTCCACGTTGCTCATAGGACTTTTGTCAATTCCACAGCACCAAAACCAATAAGCCACTCAGTGTCTTCGGTCAACTTACGATTTGCAGGGCGCACAACAATGAAATCCGTAGTGTGCAAAATGAACCCCATGACCGACACGGCGTCGTGTGGCTCCGAGGTGAAGAAGTGGTGGACCCGGCAGCTGACGGTGGAGAGCGATGAAAGCAGCGATGACCTTCTGGACGTTTAGGTGGAATTAGCGCAGTGCAAGGTTTAATGGGGAGCACTGTTTTCTAGCATTTTCCTCCTATGGTCTAACAGGGACCATGGACCATGGACCATGGCGAGCAGTCTATACTTAAGATATCATTTAATTCTAGGGGCGCCTGGGTGGCGCAGTCGGTTAAGCGTCCGACTTCAGCCAGGTCACGATCTCGCGGTCCGTGAGTTC